AACTCCGGATGCGTTTCGTGCTATGTGGTCTGTGTGGACAAGTGGTGGTCGTCCCAGTATACACCATGTGTCTCGACAAATCGAAGTGATATCTGACGCAGGATCCAACTGCAGCTTAGCTTTCTTATCGTTGATCTTCAAAATTGTAAACTTACGCCTGCCGACACCGTCAACCTTGAAAGTCGCCGTCGCAGTTTTGGCCTCGTTGTGACATAGGAAGCGCACCGGGATTCGACGCCGTATTCCGCTCATTGTTGGTCTCTTCGCAAGACAACACGACTCTTTATGTCCTCGCTTACCACAACGAATGCAAATGTGATTTCAGAACTGGCAATTTCGACCAAAGTGCCATTCCCTACAAAACCAACAAGCAAAAGAGGGTTTAGAATGTGGTGAACTCACATGAACCGATTCTTTCTGAGGACTTCTGCTGACCCTGCAAGTGATGTCCTGACTAATCTGGATAGGGGACGGTTGGATCAAAGCAGCATCGTGCTTCAACTTCATCAACCGTTGGCATTCGTTCGTCACTTCCTGCAGTGCGATCTCTGGATTTTGTTCAATTCTGCTCAGTACTCTTGTTCGGACATCCGCATCTTTGGTTGCTTGAAGACCACACACATAAATAAGGCACTTGTACTGATCAGCTGTCATCTTGTGAAACAGCGACCGTTCACACTCTCGATTTACGCAACTCGAGTAAGTAACCCAGTCTTCGTCGTCTCGCTTGGTCATTGTCAGGCACATGTATCGGATATTGAATAATGACGACTGCTCTCCAAATATCTGGGACAAAGTAGCAACCGCTTCATCGAATGTTAAATCAATGCTCTTTTTCGGCAAGATGAAATCCATAGACTTTTCGTGCTCGGCCGCACCCAATTTCCGCAGCATGAGGTGTACTCTATTGTCCTCTGAAGCACCGGTTAAATCAACGCGAAACAGGTATTCGTATTTATGGAACCACGATTCAAAGGTAATACCGGCATCAGCATCGTAACGGAACTCACAAACTTGCTGCGTCAAGGTTTCTGCTGAGCGGCAACGTTCACTTGTTCCTCTTACCGAGCCTGCCTGTAGTGACAAATTCTTGGTCAGCGTTTCGATCAACTTGGCCTGTGCTTTCTCAAACTGCGTCTGCTGTTGCTGCAACAGAGACTGCAATTGCTCAAAACTGACTGACACCTTTGGGTTCTTCCGACTCCTGTCGCCACTGTTGTAACGCTTCTTCCTTCCCTCTGCTCTCTGCCACTGACGACTGTTGTACTGTTGCTAGCTGCCCTATGAGACTGCGACTGTCTGACTTCTCAGTTACGCGCTCAGCCAACCGAAGGAATACAGAAGACCAAGGCTCAGTAACAGGGAGTCTATCTACACCATAAGTTAACTGTATTTATAGGTAGCCGAAACATGCTAATTTAGGAGGTCAAGATCGCTCAATTTTGTGCGTCCGGTTTTCAGCCAGAGTGAGTGAGTTCCGCTCCACGGGGTTTATCATACTGACGGTATAGTTCGATTCGTTTTACGCGGACTGGTAATTGCTGGCCGATCAATTCTCAGTCGATACCCAACTTTAGCTCCGCTTACGTCTCTATTACCTTCCACTGACTTTCTGTTTTCCCCTTTTTGTTGTTGTTAAACATTGTTATGGCACTGTCAATAGTATATTGGTCAAGTGTTGCATGATATGTTCTACATGACCGGCGTTAACGGATGCCGTGTTGCTCGGGCACTATGATTTTAAGTCTTTTTACCTAGTCCATTAATGCCCCAGCTAAGATCAACTCCCTCAACTTTGAGAGCAACGGAAGTAGGATAACTGACCGAACCGTGGCGAGCCCCTAATCGCTACAACCCTTAAAAATCGGGACGATAATAACCTGCTCCAAAAATCAGGAAGCTGCTGTTTAAGTAAGCCTCTTGGAAATTAGTTGAGGACATTTTGGCCTGCAAATACTGTATGGCTAGCTTTGGATGATGGCTCATCATGTTGGCGTAGTTAAGGGGAGCTGAATGTGGCTAGGATTTGGAATTTAGCAATCCATTATTGGGTCCATCCGCTATACATTCCGAGGGATCTTAAGTCAGTTAATAACATAAGGACAATGAAGGAAAACATGGACGATCAATACAAACATTCAGAGCCCATGTGCTCACAAATTAACAACACCACATGGCTTCAAATACGACAGCTACCTTTCGACTTGCCAGCCCCAGGCATCGTAATCAAGTTCACTCCACCGATAACTCCTTACCGGACAAGGTCTGAAAGAACTTACTAGTTGTTTCAAAATATGTGCTGTTAGCTTTTAAGTCCAGCGCAAGTTGAATGCATGTGCGTTAGCCTGAAAAATGAAGCAGGCAATCAACACACAGGAGCGTGGACCAAAACCGCATTTTATTTTATCATACTACTGATCGCGTACATCGAAATTTGATCAGTTCCAGACCCGTTGTCCAAACTTACTTGAACCCAGCATCTTTGGGTTGTTACCCGTAGCATCTGCACTTAGACCACCGAGCCATGGTACGCAAAGCCTTTTGCAACATTTACTGAAGGTGCAATCAGCGTTGTGTGCATATAATGTCAGAACTAAGCAAAACGAACCTCTCTTCCTTCGGTCACTGGGACTACATTTGAAGCGTATGATTATACAGCGACTAAATTACAATGACAACTTGATCGTAGAAACGAAGGCATTAACATCACTGCTTGATGTGTTGACAGAATTCATATGGCGCAGGGAAGAGGTATTCTTCCATACTTGAAGGTGTTGTATATTGTGGCTAAATGATTCAGTCTTCACAGTTATACCTTGTTTGCTGAATTTGTGGAAATCTATGAAATGTGAACCCCTGGACGTTTTCGCTTGATTAAGGATAAATGGTCATATCTTACATTTTTGCCATTTTGGGATCCTGCAGCCTAAAATCAGTCAAGGCTTGTCTCTATCATCGCCCCGCAAAACCGGCCCATTCGCGTCGAAATCCTCTCCACCGGTTAGTTTCACCAACATCGTCTGATAGCCTTTTCTATTATGCTTTATTATACATGCTGACCCACATGCTTAGTAGTACTTACTAAACCCGCTCTCTTCATGCGATCATTGTACAAGTATGTTTCGCAACGCCGTAGATTTGGTTAGGATAGCATGTCTAAGGTTAACCTAGATAGATAAAACAACCAGCACTTTCACATTGTTCTCATTGAGCGCATAGACCGGATTATCAACTCAAAAGCAGGCCACTCAACCTTGGCTTTCTCAGACAACCTGTATAAGTTGGTCTTCAACTGTGGATCAAGACGAAATAGATCATTTCCCCTTGCTGTATGCTGCACTTATGTCCGGTTTGGTTGACAGTCCTATGCATAAAATGAATCCACATCCGGAGTGAACATCGTGTTAGCAACGAACCAGTGTTTTGCACAAACTCCGATGACCAATTGTATTGCCAACTTGAAATAACAAGCAAATTAAGCATTAGAGTTCATGGTCTAGGGAATACGTGTCGCATACCGGAGGTTGAAAAATTTCTTACAAAAACCATGGAGTGATCCAAACATAATAGGTGAAACCTGTATTCACATGAATCCAGTGGCTAGGTCAATCACGATTTGATGACCTAATCTCTAGCAACCGGGGCTAAGGATAACTGCAGTATCAACGAATGCGAAATCCACTTGTGAAGTTCGTTTGTATTCCATTGGTTCTCAAAATCTTATCTTTTGCCTTGGTGTCATAGAGCCTTGAGAACGAGGCCGATATATTTACTGAGTATGATGCATCTAGCAGAAAGTAAACGATTGGAAGATACCTATGTCCTCAAACTCCATGACTAAAGACAATTACCTGTTTGTAATAGGCATGTGGATTTTATAAAGTACATTTGAAGTAACCCTAAGTAAGCCATCCCCATAAAGTTCTGTTGTTGGCAAATTATTGATCTGATCGGTAGGCAACTTTTATGTCTAGTTTTTGGAAAAGCTTCAGCGTGTGGAGCGGTTTTAACCCCTTATCTTCGTCACAGCCGCTTACCGGTTTCCAAAGCACCCTTGAGGGAGACAGGCTCCTGCACAATCGATCGTCCAATCCCCTGTGATAAGATTGAATGACTTTGCCAGTCCATCGTGATGCATTCAACCGGCACTGGAGCTTTGATCTGCAATTTGTATTAGCAATGTGTAGAAGCAACAGCGCCATCAGTTATTCGTTGCGCATCCAACACACACAATAAAATCGTGTTGCGCCTTTGTGTGGATGAGTATTGATATTGAGAACGCTCACATAATCTGCGATAACACCCTGTTCTGAGTCAATACGTGGTGCTGGGTTAAATTGCTGTTAACCAACTACGACCGCACTGAAGCTTTAGAAATGGGTTGCTCATTTGTTCCACACAGAGTACCGAGCTCAGCATTCACCATTTGTTTACATACCTACGACTGATTATATATGGGATCAATTTCTGATGAGTTGCAGCAGTTCATTTTCAGCACTGGATCGTTCCTAGGAACGTACTACAGGTGTTGAATCGCTTATCACTTCGACACGTGATGAAATCCAAGCGAAGTACATGGATATAGCTGCATACTTGCAAGGTTTGTTTTTACTTTGGCATAGCGGAGCTCCTGTAGTCCCGTGTGCGAATCCTTGCGCAGCGTTGGGATTACCTTTATTACAACTTTGAAGGAAGCCGGGTAGGGCAAATACGGTTCTCAAAGATCAGTCCAACAAATCATTGCTTCTGTGGCTGTGGCTTACTCCACGTAACTAGCTCAAAAATTAAACTTTCTCAGACTGCAATCACTGTCACTTTTCCACTGATGCAATATTCCCCTTGTTGCTATTGGATACTTGAAAGCTTTGCAATTTTACCCTATTGACACCAGTGTCCGACGATTGTCCGTTGGTCACTATATTGGTAGAATGTTGTCACTGATCGGGTGGTTGCTTTCGAGCGCTCAGTTGTTTCCAAATTTTATGCCGTATTCACTTTCCAACTGCCACTGGCTACACATTACTGCAATTCCACACGTCCGGCGATATACACAATACGTACTAAAAACCTTTTATATTACAGCGCAAGTAGTTTACGGATCAGAAGCTTGCTGAGTGTGTCGTTCTGTCTCATTTTATGGCGACGCTTTCCTTCCTTTCGTTTTACAATTATATTTTACTTCATTTGTACATAAAATGACATCTTTTACCATCACTCGATGAGTGCCTAGGCTCGATTGCTAGAGTGACGCATGATACTAATAGAGTATAACTGAACTATTCATTTCCTTAGCTAAGACCCAAGAAGTCTTCAAAGTCACCTTCGCCATCCAGAGGAAAATCCAGTTCTTCGAGAAACTCACCTCAGGTAACCGCTTTCCTTGTTTAGATATCTCATACCTACATTCATTCAGCCGTATTCTCACATTCTTCTCCAAGCTTCTTTCCTTTTGACGTCGGGAAATGCGTAGATCTTTTGAAACACACCAGTCCACGATTTCTGCTAGTAGTGAGGAAATGTACAGTTGGTCACATGAGGAAACCGATATCAACTGATGTACTATTTTTCAGTTCCGTCGTTTGTTTCCGGAAGTTATATTTATTTAAAAATGGGTCATAATATTATGATGGATGATAGCGGATAGATACAGCTTATTTGGACTTTCTTTGGACCATTACGTTATAGGGTAAACAATAGTGCTTGTTTATTACCCACCGGAAATCAATGGATTTCCCGAAGGGTCTCGAAACTGTTTGATCCCACCAGACAAAGACAATTAACATACAGACTAAGGGAGCATTTGGGATGTCAGCCAAAACCCTGATTCGATTTGGTGTTGACCATGGTTGCAGAAAACGGACACATATCTACTAGTCGTAATTTACCGTCCCCCAAAATCTACATGTGAAATGGACTCCAATTCGAAACACGTTCTTCGGATTGCTTTGAACAAGTCACCCAGTCACATTCCCGTCGCAGACGACTTTAATGTGCATGACCTGGACGTAGCGGAATCCGATAGCACACAGTGTAAAACCTGTTTGCGGGAGCTTATTCCCAGATACGCTCTAAACAACTACGTTGCCTATCCTGCCCCAATTCGAACTGCTAACAAGCCTTCGATACTTATTCTTGTGCTCAAGAATGAAGAACTCATGGTTGACGGAATCGCTGCACGTACATCATTAGGCTTCAGTGACCGTGTTACTCTTCTGGTTGACTATATATGCCATGTGGAATATCCTGAAGAAGAGGATGATAAAATGTATACTATTACGCACTACAACGTATTATTCGCGTTTGTTAATGAGACATCTTGGACCTTCTTAACGGAATAACGCCAGACGTATACTGGGAAACCCACAAAGACGTCTGGTACACCGGAAACCCACGTGTTGAAACAGAAGTACTCCCAAGGTTAACACAAAAACAAGTCATTTCTGAGGAGCAGAACACGTAAATGCATGTTTCTTAGGGATTTGGCATGTCGAGATTACAAAGCCGGCCCGAATGCAGACACCTGGAGTACATACATAGCTCATCGGAACTTATGCGTGAAATCGATCCGCGAGGACAAGTTGTCATATCGGCAGTAGTTATTTAAGTGTTTCAGTATGAACCGCAAACCCATACAAGCACGTTAGTGGCCCCCGTAAAGTGAAGCGCGGAATCCCAGTCCTGCTCACGGCTGATGAGGCAGTCTGTCAGCAATGGAAGCTTCACTACTCAAACATTTTCCAGCAGACAACGAGGCCAACTACTCTCCTCGTTTCCACTATTTCACCATCACGTTTAGCCACCATCACTCTCCCTGCAGAAGAGGTGTTAATGTGGTTGTTAATCCTGCCTAACCACAGTTCTCCTGGAGTCGATGAGGTAATATTGAAGACGCTGTAGTCAGTATCTAGTGCTCAAGCAGAAACACTGGCGGGTTTCTATTAGCGTTGTCTACAGCGAAACCAAACTCCGCCGGCATGGAAGCGAGGGATCAACACTAAGGTTCAAAAGGGAGGTAGTCGCACTGACCCTAACAATTACCGTCCAATAAGGCTAGTCCCTGTGTTTTCCAAAATTATGAAATCATTCGTCGCAGATGTGCAGATGCAGAATTTGGAAAACTGCAATTTAATAGCTCAGGAGCAACATGGCTTCTGTCAAAAGCATACATCTACTACTAACCTATTAGTTTCACACAATAGCTGGACCAAAGCAGTATACGATGAAGCAGGAGTCTATGTCATCTAGCTGGACTTCACAAAGGTGTTTGATCGCTTAAACTATCGAATTGCCCTCCACAGGCTTAGGAGCTATGGCGTTGGTGACCCAATCCCGAGTTAGATTAAAAATTTTCCAAACGAGCGTCGGTTGGGGTTGAGAGTCCGAATCTCTGTCCCGTGCAATTGATGTGCAGTGCGGTGTAACCCGAGGCTCAGAGCTAGAGCTTGGTATTCATAAACGATCTAGAGAGATAAATCTCTAATGGTTTCCCAATTTTCGCGGATGACATTAAGATACGGCGAGCAATCAAAAGACTGGGCGACCAGCAACGGCACCCGTGTGATCCTAACATTTTTTCGAACTCGTCAATTCATAATGCCATACTATGCAACGTAGGCAATTGTCGCGGTGTACAATTACGCCATAGACATGACTGCACGTAATTGCTTGGGGCACACGGATTTCGGACCAGCTCCCATCAACGTGATCTTACTGTGCTGGTACAGAGTTACCTTAACTGTTCACAAGAAGCCAAGATAAGAGGCAACTAGTATGTCGGCTTGTTGCGAAGGGCACTGGGCAGATTTGACCCATCGATCTTTCTAATGATGCACAATTCCTTTGTGTGGCCGCATGTTGAATACGCTATCCAAGCTTGGCAACCTTGGTTGAAGCGAGAACTAGAAGCGTAAGAGGTACCACAACGAACGGCAACAACGAATGTAAAGGGTCTACGCATACACTCTTCTCGCCGAAGGCTGAAGCCGCTGGCTTTTAGCGGATGCTACCGAAGGTCTATCAAATATTAGTTGATCCTAATAAACTCTGCCATAATCCCAATCTCAGAGGTAATTTCTTGAAATTGTGTGAATACTATAGCCGCGTGGAATGCCGTCGGAATTACTTTTCCCTTCGTGATGCCAACTTTGGAACTCTCTCCCAAATGCAGTTGTATCATCCCCGACTTTGGACAAGTTCAAAAACGATTGGATGTTTCTCTTAGCTCCCAACCTTTTGTTAGCTTCTACCGAATTTATGTGTCAGATGGATCCAAGGAGGCGGGGCGCAAAGTGAGAGGTCATTTTTTACCTTTCTCACGCTGTATGTCAAATATCGTTGCAAAGCAAGCTCAGCAAAAGTGCCAGCCTGCAAGGCATGTAGGTACCTCCATATAGATAACTAAGTCATTGCTATAACTAACGACGCTGCTACACTCATGAGTTTCTTTCTTTGAATCAGTTAAGCAAACACTGCTCAGCGAACAAATCAGCACGTAGACGAACTATGCGCAGGCGTCAAATCAAATGCTCTGTTAGCTTGTGGCTCTTTAGCCACTTGCTTAAACGATCCTCTCACAGTAACTACTTCACTGATGTAGCAGATTGTACACCATGGCCGTCTATAAGAACCTCGGGGCACTGTGTAAGTAGCTGCTCGTAACTGGCCCGTATTGCAGCGAAAACAGAATATCATGTCAATTTGATGCGTCAAAAGATAGATGACAGGCTTTGGATCGAACACCGGGGTTGTTCAGAGGATCTTGCAGGCTGAGTGACGCATCTGCGTTTCGATGATTGATACACCAGACGATGTCGTCCTTAAGAAACTTAAACTTTACGAAAAAGTGTCCAACTTCTGCCACCATAATGCCTGCGTTCGTTATAGAACGGATGCAGCACGCGGAAAACAAAATTATTAGGCGTAATTTCAAAACATGCGTTCAATCGCGATAACATTTGACATCCGAATCTGCCAAGATATAAAAAGCAATTCATGTCTCTAATCACGCGAGTTATGCTCACATTGTGGGTCCTAAAAACAGCGATTTAGATATTCGGTTTACCAGGACCTGTTTTGGTCGTATTTGTTCGCGTCAATGGCAGATAGCAGGCATCGAACCAATGTTGGCCGAAACCTATATTTCTAAATGAAAGGGTCACGCACAATGGTTAATGACTAATTGGAGGGTAAATTTGAAGCGTTTGTTTTGTGAATGGACTGCGACACGTAATCATATTGTGGCCCGCGAGTCGCATTGAAGTGGTTTCATGTATGCCAATTTTCGGAGGATAAAATCTTCTCAGGCGGTTAGTTGCTCAATGCCTGTGTGAGTACGAGAAAAGTATAGCACATCACAGAAAAAATCCGGTGTAGACAAACGAACTACCAGAGATTTGAAGGCTATTGATCGAAACCTTCACAGCAGCTACATAGTTTACTGGTCAATCGGATGTTATGGATAAAAGTACCGAAGATTAATATGTCTCTCAGGATAATGGACGTAAACTTTCAAAATATAAGGAAAGATAACTATATCCGGCTAAACCGAAAACAATGAGTATGTCAAGCGAGCTTTTGTAAATCTGGGTCGTTCACATATGTCTTTATGCAACTTGAAATGTCACCGCCTTCGGTTTTCTCATAAAAGCGGGTTTGAGTTATTTTGGTCTACTGAACGTGCGTATAGTTCACGTGTTATATGATATCGTGTAATGCGGCCAGCGTAACGTTTACATGGTCCTTAAGCACAGCTAATGTAGGGGTTTCTGTGATCTAATTCCATGCACAGCAAATACACAGTGAGAAATTCCTTCCACATTCCAGTAGGCAGTATTGTTTTACCAGTTTGCAACGATGGTGGCTCAGTCTGCTCTTATGGGTGAAACTTAACATGTGATGGCTCAAGTGCTTAGAGTTGTTTGTCACGCAAAGGGCGATAAGGTAAACTTAAAACTCGCAGAATATACGGGCTGGGTTGCTTGTTTTCTGCTTTGCCGTAACCAGACAGTCGTGCTGGCGCTATCGCGCGGAATATCTTACCATAGTTTCTACTGGACATAAATTCATGAGGCATGAGCACGGTCATGCGCTTAGCCTAAGACGGTTCACATGGTAGACCATGTTACAAAAGCCATGAATTTAAACATTCATTAAACTATTTACGCTGCCATTCCGTAACACAGCTCTGCACACCACTTTCGTCACTCTTCACTCTTCAAGCATGTATATATACTAACTGTGAGTCAAGTGGCATTTGGTGTACCCGCTGTGGGGTTGGATTGCGATTCGCAATCTCTATTTGGACCTCGGTCCTCTTTTAAGTAGACCTCGGCCATTACGATCACATGGACCGTATCCGAATTGGTGGTTCATTGTTGCTCTCCCAACCCTGACACCCTATAACCGGTTTCGTCCTCCTTTGGACTCATCAAATGGAGATAGCCTGAGCTGGGGTAGACCTCGAGGCGTAGTGTTCAAAGGTTGACGCCTTGATCACTATGGTTCCTAGGTCCGCGAACAACACTTGGTACAGCGGTAAAGAGTTCCAAGTTGCATTTGGTGTACCCGCTGTGTGGTTGGATTGCGAGTCAATCAGGGAGGTAGGAGACCACTGGTTGCAGTCTTTCGGTCCACACTATCAAGCAAATAAACAATCGCCGCTTCAAAGCCTCATAGATTTGTGGATTTCGGTAACTCATACTAGTTTAATAGGCGAACACCAAGCTTGTCGAAACGAGCAATAGCACGGTCACAGGAAAAATAAACTACGGTCGCTGAGTTGATTTCGACTGAAATGGCCGTCCCCTTTGGTTGGCAGCCATATCTGGATTAACTTCCATGTCTGCGAATTGTACCAAATATATTTGCATATAGATTAAACTTGATATATAGGTTACATGACCAATCGCCCCTTAATTAATGCCTATTATGTAATATCTGCTGCTTTGCCGAACTGGTCCCACAAAATGCGGCTGTTTCTCATTCGTGTCTCTTCCTATTCCAATAGATGGACGGCGTTGTGTCACCTCCGTCAAGTCTTAATGGAAAGAATTCCCTGGATGCAGAAACTCTCCGAGTTTTTGATCCTGAGACTGTACGTTTTACATCATTCCACATTCTACTTTACCTGTCATTTAGATGCGAATTCGTCAAATTGTATCCGGATACGGTGCGGAAAACGGTTCTGTTGAAGGGGTAATTTTAACCGTTATCTCACTGCAATTCTTTCTTTATGCAAAATGTATAAACGCGCTAAATAATATACTGAGAAAATAAGACTAGATTAATGTGTAACCGTCCCGCTTATCCTAGAGCATAGGTATAAGTATACCGAATAGGTCTGAATGACGCGAAAATCCGTTTTCATCTCATCTGTTAAACCATAGGTCGTCAATTTGATTGCCTGAGAAAATGTTAGACAAACGTTCCATTACATGCATTCAGCCATTTTAAAACAAGCAAGTGTTTTACAAATTTGACAAATGTCGGTAGTGCTAACGGTGTTCTACATGTTTAATACTGAATGATGCCGCGGTATTTGGTGAATTAAATCACGGAGACTTGGCTGTATTTTTGCGGTGTAGCGAAGCAACAAACTTCCACGAGGGCGCAGTAGATCGCCCTACTGTACTCTGAGGATCAGTGGCCACGTAGGCTACTTCAAATTATGCAAAATAATTAGCCGTTAGGCGAGGTATGTCGCGCCTCTCGTGACTCACACTCGCTGTCAAAGTGGCTTCACAAGACAACAAAGGCTTATTCTGATACTTCACTCGACTGTTTGTCACAGAAGTGGTAGTTCCTGGAAGAACTTCTTTTGGATGCCGATATTCGTGCTTGTCGTTCTGATGTTTACTGCTTCAGCGGAAGAAAGAATTCGTGCCCCTAATTTACGCTACAGCCGTGATTGTTTGTTAAACATGATTTCGAATGCTATACGTTAGTTAACTCAATGTTTAGTATCGATCAGCTGGTAGCTTTATTGTTCTTAATTTGCTTTTGATTCTTTTATCAAAGTGCGCCATTTTTGTTTAAGGTAACTAGTTGCACAGAAGCAGCTGAACCTGTTGATCACTATCGACTAGATGTGATCAAAAAGAAAGAAAGCACGCCAGCACACTGTACGGTCAGGCGATTACCACTAGTCGCACGTGGTCAGAGTACACCGCGAGGAGCCCTGCCCCTACGCGGATTCCAAGCAGTGAGCTAAGAGCTGCAAGCCAGGTGTGAAATCCTTTCATTCACCGGCTAACCCAGAGGCGATCAGACAAGACTAACTGGTTGCACTAGAGCTTATTTGGCAAGTTTATCTCACGGAACTCGGCCACTATACGTTCTCAAAGGGAATGTTGAAAAAAACCTGTTTCTTCTCTATTACTTGGGGTTCTGGACTCTTTCTGGGTGTAAATGAAGCGTTCTTAGTAACCATTTGCTTTAATGGTGCGTCTGATCTGCTTCAATTCGCCTTAATCCTTATCCTGGCTTAAGACCTTACGTCCATAGAAGGTTGGAACAGAAAGCCGGTAAGCGTAGTACTGACTGATGCTGCGCAACTACCATTAGTCGCGCGTGCGCTAGGACAGTCTTGTGGTTTTTAATCCCAGGGGCAGGTTGACCTTATCTGAGCAGTTGGTTAGCATATGCCCTAGGGTTCTTTCGCGGTTGAGTATCATTTAGCTCTGGGACTAAGTAATGCCAGATCCAGTGTGATTTTCTGTGTAACGCTGAATCGATCCGTCCAGTCATCTCTGTTGATTTGCTCCGAAGAAATTCGGTTAAGTTTTATTTTCCTCCTCGGTTGTGTATGTGGCATTGGGATGTGCTCATTTAAAACATTCGATATCGTTCTGGAAGTTGGTTGTCCGAGCACTTATAAAGAGTATCTCGTCCACATAACATCCGTAGAACTTGTAAGAGGAAATAACCGATTTGGGTGGGTCATCCACTAATATTTCACTTTAGGCATCTGCCAACAGTGAGGCTAGAGGAGAGTCCATTGCCACTTCATCTATTTACCTGTATAGTTGAGTGTTGAACTGAGATTGAATGTTGTAGGTACATCTGAGAAAGAGTTGCTTCAGCTGGTCCGTTGCTATCTCACAGCTTGTCTTGTGCTGATCATTGTAGGCGCAAAGGAAGCTGGCTGTTTCCCATAGCGGAACGTTAGTAAATGGTTAAACACAGTTCTAAGAAAACAATCGATAAGGCAGAATGCTTTTATTTCCAACACTTTCAGCAAACTAGAATGTGGCCATAACCTGAAGAAGGCCTATCATTCTCAGAAAAATATCCAAAATGTATGCCAGCTATTTTATGACCTGTATGTAATACGAACAGTTTGGCATTTTCCGTATTGACCTCGAATACGCTACTGGTTTGTGTATGTTTAAAAGCTCACGAACCCTAGGAATTATAGAACCAACAGGTACTAGAATTCCACATCTTTCCTGTCGTATACCCCCTCAAGTACCAACGATTTCATGCAGTTGATCAGTTGGAATTCTGTATATTTTGTTTCGCGTTTCTCATTCACAACTTGTGTCTGTCCACGACAGAACTTTCAAAGACGCCAAGAATACTTAGTACTGCAAGCTATTAATCTGGTAGGGCTTAGCAAAAGAAAAAAGCACCATCACTAAGCCAAAGCTTCGCTGCCGCGCAACCACCAGCAGTCGCATGGAGGCTAAGCATACTGCGTACATCGCCAGGTCCTCTTTGCACGCTCTACCTCGCGACTCCTGGATTCCAAGTCAAGCTTGTGATACTTAAGGCCATAGTCTGACGGTATGGCTTGAAGACAAATTCACAGACACTGACATAATCAGCCTATATAATGCACAGTGAAGAAATTCACATTCACCAAACATTCATTCGTCCCCTGTAATGCTTGCTTAAAGATAACCAAGCGGAACCATTACATCCTCTTCATAATGTGACAAATTCCAGGTCTAGTTTTTGGCTAAGCTAGACGCTACGAGCTAAGGGCATCGAGCGATGAATTCGCCAATAAATGCGGGCATTATTTAGCGTCATAAAGTTTAAACTTACTATGCCTTCCAAGAGGATGGCAACTTGACCATGTATGGACGTCAATCATTCTTAGGCTCCAATTTTTCTTAGTTTCCTTACATAATTTGGAACGCCCTCTTTCAGTCACTCAGTGGACATCGTACGTGATCAAGCAAACAGGTAGTATTATAGTAGTAAGCTGCAGCAGAAGCATGCAAACCATTTTAAACACATTATGCGTGAGATTAACAGTACATTATTAATTGTTGTCACACCTGTGTTTGTGATTTCATCCTGATGACTAACCCGGACGTTCGTCCATCTCATCAGCCTTGGGATTACGAACCTGGACCGCCTTTCACACTCACCGTGGCAGGTGTTTGTGACGCGAATGTAAGTTTCTGTGCACCATACGCACTGACTGTTTCCCATCATAGGATATGTATTACTTTCCATTGCAAGAGCAAATTGCCTATTTAGAAAGCAAGCTAATCGATTTGGCAATGCGATACAACAATCTGGAAGACGAACATCGCGTGGTACGCCAAAGTCACGAGCATTTGAACCGAACGGTGCGGGAAGCAAATTTGGTTGCCCGGGATCAAGTGGTGTTTGAAAACCTCAAGTTGAAATATCAACTAGCTGCGACGGTGCGTCTTGTGTGTGCTCTCAGAGCAATACCATTGCCATACTTGTCTGCGTACTGATATTGATTTTGTATAATTACTAAGTTATTCTTCTTTCACCACTATGTTAGTATTATTAGATTTGTCCTTAATAAATAATGGAGGCATTACTAAAACACGTATATTCGTAGAAGTTTATTTCGCTCATTTCTAGCAAACACTTTTTCATGTTAATATTAGTCAGCCAATATATATTACTTTGCCCAAATTCTTATTGTAGTACAAACCAGTGGAGTGCGGAAAAGAAATTAGGTTTCTCACCACCATTCTTTCGATGATAATTCGTGATGGAATTTGTCTCTCTAATACTTGAAATGACTTTTCAGTATTGTCACCTATTGACCCAACAAGGTTACTACCTCGGTCACTTATATGTCTAGTAACATCCCACTTTTCTTCTTAAGGACATGATCAATGATCGTTTATTCCTGACTTATAGATGGGATTGTGATATTGCCAAGTTGGAGCTGACGTAGTTGGGCTACTGCCGGCCTCATAGGAAGATAGATAGCATTAATTACGCTGGACACTGCAAGCTGTGGAATTACGTAAGGCACAACGTTATTTTCTACCTTATCAGAGTAATCGTGTTCCGACTCAGTTGAATTTGACATCGCTGTTTGCACAGAATAGACTTAAGACCATGTAATACCCACATCTAGGTGGTGAGGTGAAACCCATTTACGCATGAATTTTATAGCGTGTTTCAATCGCAAACCCTAACGACGTGACCGTTTGTTGAGATACTCGTAGTCTGCTATTGAAGACAAGGGACCGGCAAAGAGGGCATATTTGTATCTCGAAGATGCCCATTTCCTTTATGTAAACACAATACTTTTACCTGTCACCAAGTTTCGTTTACTACGATTCCCACTGGCATCCTTCGTGGTGTGAAAATTTTATAGTTCCCCACATTTTATCTCGTTTACGTCGTCCTCAGATGCTTGGTCTTCCTCACAACACTCAACTGCCTCAAACGCTTTAGACCGTTATATATTGCATACTCATCAAGATAATAAGTAGTGCAACAAGCCGAAACATATTATTCGCATGGTTATAATGCAGAGTAGTATGCTTCTACTGGATCTTAACATTACAGATTCTTGTTAGCAGGGAACAACAACTGAAGCGGGTTGATAAGCTCAGCTACCTACTTTGGCGTATTACTGCTGGTAGTCGGATCAAACAACCGACATTCTGATGCATTGGTGCGGTAGGTGTAGCTCTGCAACGAGACCAAAGCTTTGTTCGTTTAAGAAAGCATTTATAAGACTGCAGTTAGAAAAATAATGAAGTAAAAGTAGGAGAGTCAGACGTTGAGTAAGGAGGATGGTAGGACTCTGCCCGTGTTGCTCACTGACCCTACCCAATGTTATTTTTGCCTAACTGCAAGGCAGCAAACCAACTTTCTTGAATTGGTAGGCCCAATGTATCTTCATCGCCCTCGCTTCCCTAGTTATATATGGTGCAAGTCTGCAAACCAGCTGCTTCGATAAGTATTGTCCAGTGGAAACTCAAAGACAGGTGGCCATTAATTGGCAGATGAATATGAAGTAATGCACCTCAAGCCTGGACGGAGTTAGTAGCTGTCTTCTTGTCTTAACAGCGCACACATGAAGCAACCACGGCGCCAGTGGTACTTTTGCATTCGCACAGTAATTTACCACTCTTTACTGCTTTGCTGCTTAACTGCTGTTTTTGCTTATTACCAATTCCTTTTGAATTAATTTTACGCCTGATCACTACGTTAACGTCCTGGGTTAAAGCTCCGGGATCAATCGCTCACTGATAAGTAGAAAGCATTGCCCCACAAGCAGTGGATATTTCTTTTATACAAAGAAACAAAAACCTACCTTAGAGTACAGTGGAAGCGTATTAGTTCCAACGTTTGGATTAGCATTTAAATACTTCAGATCACTACTTTTACATTATAGAGCTTTTGCCCCGACTTTAAAAGTTGCAGCAATAAGGATCTGATTATATCTATAGTTTTAAATGTTATTAGGATTATAATTACTACTTTTTTATACGCTGATTCCTGCATTAATAGCTTTGAACTTAGCGACGCTCATAAGCAGTAAATAGGATGGTTAATTTGCGTCTTAAAACGTTTGGACATAGTGCATCTTAAAGGTAAGATTTCTATGGACTAGTACAATATTTTTCAAAACAGATGAATGCTGTTTTCTATTCGAATGTTAATGCTGATACATCGTGTAATAAATTAAAGGAGTAGTTTCCACCCTAGTATTGGTGACTCATTACAGTCAATATGCTGTCAGATGTCCAGCCACCAATTCATAGAAACTGCTGTTTCGTCCTATTAGCTCCATCCAGCCGGAGCATTCTGGAAAAATTACACATCTCACAAATATTCTCAAAACATTGATATTTGCTCGACTGCTTCAAATGCCGCATCCGCTGTTCACTGCACGCTAATAAATGTAGAAGTTTACCCGTTCCACTGCGGTTTCAAAAACAAGCCATTTAAGGGAGGTTAAGCTGGGTTATGTCGATTAATTCAAGCTGTAAATCAGGATCCAACACATTAGCCGCTATGTTCAAAGCACCCCTGGCTCGGGATCCATTAGGGGCGCTGTCAGAGGAATGCGTGCTACAGAACGGTCAAGTAGGATAAAACAAAGCTCGGATGTTTCCGGATGGTGCTTAAAACCTGAAGAAGAGCAGCCGGTGTACAAAAATTTGATAGTATAGCAAAACTACCCTAATGCACTTCAACAAATTTGTACAGGCAAATGAAAAAAGGGTGATAACAAGTGAGCTTATAAAAAATAATCCGTGTTGTCCAATCAAGTACACGAAGGTAGCTAATCTTTATCCCACTGAGGGGCTACATGCACGCACTAGCAGCGACAATGTCATTGGTCATAGGATATTAGCCAATGGGACACCCTGGATGTAAGCACAGGGCTAGATGTACGCATCTATGGGGGACAGGTATGCTCTCGTGCAGGTTGACACATTGGCAATAACAGAAGGCAGAGAGGGATGCGAGTGTACTTGCTAGAGGTCACCAACAGTAGCTGGTCAACGATGGATAGGATATTTGAACGTGCTCCCTCAGCACCCCTTTAAAGAACTCATGTGGGAAAGAGTTATCATTGGTTCATATTCTGACCCGGCTGGTAGCCGGAGTCACTGTGCCACATTTCTAAAGCTTGTCCGAGCAGTCCGTAACGTATCGAGCAAACTATATATGATCGGTCCAAGGTGCACAGTGCCAGTGGCACATTTACGTTCCAAGTTAGTATTGCATTTAGTCGAAACAATATACCGCATGAAGATAACAATCGTAATAACAATAGACATAGTTATCGTCAACTAAATAACTGTCAACATATTTCCCACCGAGCATACACGCACAGGTTTTGTCACGCTTTTGCAAAAGTGATATCAATTTAACTGCTTATATTTGTCTGCTTTCCTGGCAACGTATTTACCTCATACCTTTGTTTTTGCGATGGTAGGAGGCACATTTTCAGTGTAAGCATGTTGTAGACACAGGGCTAATTGCATTGCGTGTGGTAGTGCCATTACACCCAATAGACGTTATCTGGGCTTTCACTGAATGGATGTTCAAAAGTAATTTCCCACGAAAAAACGACATAATGGTGTTACAACTTACTGCGAAAGGATTGTACAGTCTCACGTGACCTGATGGTGAATAGCAGCGGATTTCACAAAGGAGCATGTATGGTGAGAGGAAAGTTAAACCGCAAATTTGTCCTCCATTGTGGTATAATCAGTATAAGGCCTACGTTACATAGGTCTCAAATGTAATTGCGCTTTAATATTAAGGTGAATCCATTACAGCGGGTATTGCCATGAATCCGATTGTGCAGCAGTCTTAAGTTATCTTTCAGTCTTCGCAGCCAAAGCGGATCGAGATGGAGTTGCTGGAATCACTCACGAGTTTATTATATAAATATTTCCAATGCGTTCTTAGTAAATGACCGTTGAAGGCTTTCTATCGATGTTCCGTCTGTTGTTAGATTATGCTGCGATACTCTAGGATGGGACGACTAAGGATTTTAAATAATTCAACTGCAATTGTGATTGTATGCATATTACGAGAGATGTCAGTGGAAGATTGTCTAGATCGTACTATGTTGACACTCAATTTGTGCTAAAGATGACGGTAAAAGAACATCTAGTTCCAAGGTTACGGGTTGACCGTTGTACACAGATGCGTTTGCATTTACGTGTGGTGGATAGATACTTAATCATAGATACCACATGAAATAATTTTCGGTTATATGCTTTTGCTCTTTTTGGATCTTCTGACGTGCTCCTAACCATGTAGTTTTCAATTCAAATCGTTCCGTGATCACGCTGGCTTTACTTTGCGCACCTTCGACACTAGAAAATGCATCCAGTTTGGCACTCAATAACTACCTCTCCTGTTGTCTACCTCGTCGGTCCGTTAAAAGCGGGGACAGTGATTGCCAGTCTTGACTAAGATCGTTATTATTTCGAGCGCCGTAGACTGAAGTACACAACGAAAACTGGCCAGTGTCAAAAGAGCAAGAAATAACAACATCGACAGGATAATCTGAATTCAGCTACTTCGCGTATTGTTGTCAGCCGTTTACGTACCCTTAGCGGATTGGATACATTGCATACAGAGATAATCAGGGTGTAATATACGCCACGTGCATTCATCTAGCCGCTACATGAATGACACTTTTGTCCTTGTGCACATTGCCGAGCAAGTGGAACAACTACTGTTGACTCTAAGCAACTGTTACTCCGCAGTAGAATTTACAGTAGAAGACGAATCTTACCACGCCTTCCATTTCTAGGTGTGCGCTTAAAAGAAACTGAAATGGTACACTACCCTAAATTTAACATTTAGTGCCTCGCGCGTTACAAACGAGGTCCGGTTCGTACGATCGTTGCAATAGCTCGTCACCTGTGCTCGGGAACGCGTAAACCGGGAACGACCGGGTGCTCAACATCCCTAAAATATTGTTCAAAACGATGCCATTCAACGGAAAGTAACATGGCAGAGGATATAGATATCGCCTCCGTCAATTGAAAACATAGGTAGTACGCTGCTAAGCATGTGGTTTGGCACCAAGATAAGCTGTTGCTGTTTAAATTCACGCGGGACATGCCAGGCATTTGCGCTTCACCATAGGCGCTGCTTGCGTATTGCGTTGTTGCAAGTACTGTAAATTCATTGTACGCATGCGTGGTGGAGCCAATGTTATCGTCCAGAGTGGCTTCAGGAGGTCGCTGCTTTCTGTTGAAGACATGTATCGACGTAGCTTGCACGTTGGCGGCAGGGTATGTCGCTGCGTGCAAAAAAGGCCTGTTTGCTCGGCTGCCTGTAATATTTGTCTATAGCAGGGTCATCAAGCGTGGATCACGCTATAAATTATTCCCAACAAGCTGCAGGGCTGTCGGCAAGTGCGAGAACAGCGTTTGGCTGGTTTCCGTATTTACCTGAGTTACCCGAGTGATCTTCCTGCGCCGCCAATATTTACTGGCCCTGCCGTGCTGGCTTTTGCGATGAGGTGGCATTTAGCAATACGTCAACTTTGCGGCAAAGTGATGTGTTTTGTTGTCCAGTGCTGCGATTGCCGAAGCCTTGAGACTAGCAGTCGAGTAACTGCATGTAATAGAGAGGCTCCCTCTGCATGTATAATCCTTTAAATGGTCCCATTTGGAGAGTCACTTGTGACTACCAGACTGGTGTGGATCAACGGCATGGTGTACATTTGTCCAATTCATGCGTTGTTATTTATATTCCATTAAGGGACAACTAGGCTGGGCTCTGACAGGCTTCCTCTTGAAAGGGCGTTTGGTTTAGCACGAGGTGCATTGCTTGGACCGCAGTATATTTTGTAATTTGTCACGACTTCTAAAATTTCCTCGCAATCGCAGCATCAGACTGAAGGAGCACGGGACAACTGTATTGCTAGGCATGTGGGCGTAACAAGTCACGTTTATTTTTTTGCTACAGCTGCTCCGGAATGCAACAAAAATAAGCAGGCACGTGAGATATATGATTAGCAGGCTTATCGGAGCACATTTCCCATGTCTTCGGTTTTACATATTATATACACGCTACAGTGACATTACGAGACAAGTTGCTGAAATGCTCTCGTGTGGCCGACATCATGGAATTGTGCCAGCAGATAATGTAGTATAAATTTTTAAATATATGCATACATATATAAACATGAATGAAACCACGGCCATTCAAACTTCCTATATACGCGGCCGATGCCAAATATATGCACCCGTTATGTCTGCAAGTTCTTCACATGACCAGATAAACTCAGCGCCAAGTCAACCGCAATGTATCCTTGATACATCAACGCTCTCCTTTCACAAGATATACGGGCGATCGCGGACGGCACACCACCCATACCCGCAAGGTTATTAGCAATGGACTCGTTCCCAATGCTCCCACACATGTATGCCGTTCAAATAATCCGCAATTACCATATCTCACACAACACAGGCGAATAATGAGTTCAGCATTTATTATATGTTTCCACTACTTTTGCTTAACGGCAGAGAGATTATGAACAAACGGTATTTACTAAGCATGCTTGCACATTTAAACAAGCTGCAAGCAATCCTCCTTACCGAAACGTAGTACTTCGCTGATATATTGGACTGTAATCCAATTATCCCCTTTTAACACCTTTTTATTAAATATCTCTGTAACAGAAATAGTGATGGATACTGCTTGCAACTCCATCACACATGTATAGCTAACCAGTTTGAACTTCCAGCGCTGGAAATTATCCCTGATTCTCTCTGGTTCTCCGTCTCCGGAGCCTCGGTTTACTTGCATCTATCCACAATGCGCCAAATTCATCAACAATGGATGTTGTCCATATCACCTCAGCTTTTGATTTCACTGGGATCGAAGTACGTTGCAAATCAATGGAAACCATCATTTATCAAACCTCGCCACAACGGTTGCGCAAAACAGGAGATGGACAATTACAGGCCAAGCCATAATACTCCTATAATAGCCGGGTTATTCGTGAAATTGGTAAAAGGTGTGCGGAAGTTCGTCAACGTACCGGAGATTATAGACAGGTACTAAAATGGTTTTCTCGACTAATGATCGTACACATTCCGCTAGCTCTATTACCTGAACTACCTACCAGACTCCATTGACTCAAAATATGCCATATTATTTCTATGCTTGTGCATGCAGAAAGCATTCGATCGGGTTCCTCACAAACGGTTACCAATGCAGATAGATTTCTTTGAAGTCCGGAACACATTAATGGGTTGGCTGTCATCATACAGAAACGGCCTGTCTAAAACACTCACCTTAGGTGACTATTGCTCTTCCCCGCTTCCAATTACCATTGGGGTTAAGCAAGGATGTGCGCTCAATACAGTAATTTCCCTTATTTGTGTCAGTGATAACACTTTAGTTAACAAACATGACGTGCCGTTTTTATTTGTTGATGGTATACAATTTGTCCACAAGTATTGAGGAGGTGGACTTCCGAATATGCTACCGCTCATTGAAGCAAACATCCATTCGCTTGGGATTTGGTGCGACAAGTGAATCATGACGTCTTAAGCACAACAGTCAACTATCACATGTCGCTGTCGCTTGACACCCGAAGAATCTATCTATCACACGTAACAGCAAGGGCATCTGTGTACAACGGTCGACCCGTAACCTTGGAACTAGATGTTCTTTTACCGCCACTTTCTTAGCACAGATTGAGTGCCAAGATAGTACGAGCTAGACAATCTTCCACTGACATCTCTCGTAATATGCATACAATCACAATTGCAGTTGAATTATTTAAAATCCTTAGTCGTCCCATCCTGGAGTATCGCAGCATAATCTAACAACAGACGGAACATCGATAGAAAGCCTTCAACGGTCATTTATTAAGCACGCATTGGAAATATTTATATCATAAACTCGGGAGCGATGCCAGCAACTCCATCTCGATCCGCTTTGGCTGCGGAGACTGAAAGATAACTTAAGACTGCTGCACAATCGGATTCATGGCAATACCCGCTGTAATGGATTCACCTTAATATTAAAGCGCAATTACATTTGAGACCTATGTAACGTAGGCCTTATACTGATTATACCACAATGGAGGACAAATTTGCGGTTTAACTTTCCTCTCACCATACATGCTCCTTTGTGAAATCCGCTGCTATTCACCATCAGGTCACGTGAGACTGTACAATCCTTTCGCAGTAAGTTGTAACACCATTATGTCGTTTTTTCGTGGGAAATTACTTTTGAACATCCATTCAGTGAAAGCCCAGATAACGTCTATTGGGTGTAATGGCACTACCACACGCAATGCAATTAGCCCTGTGTCTACAACATATTTACACTGCAAATTTGCCTCCTACCATCGCAAAGAGCAAACATATGAGGCAAATACGTTGCCAGGAAAGCAGACAAATATAAGCAGTTAAATTGATATTACTTTTGCAAAAGCGAGACAACCCCTGTGCGTGTATGCTCGGTGGGAAATATGTTGACAGCTATTTAGTTGATGATAACTATGTCTATTGTTATTACGATTGTTATCTTCATGCGGTATATTGTTTCGACTAAATGCAATACTAACTTGGAACGTAAATGTGCCACTGGCACTGTGCACCTTGGACCGATCATATATAGTTTGCTCGATACGTTACGGACTGCTCGGACAAGCTTTAGAAATGTGGCACAGTGACTCCGGCTACCAGCCGGGTCAGAATATGAACCAATGATAACTCTTTCCCACATGAGTTCTTTAAAGGGGTGCTGAGGGAGCACGTTCAAATATCCTATCCATCGTTGACCAGCTACTGTTGGTGACCTCTAGCAAGTACACTCGCATCCCTCTCTGCCTTCTGTTATTGCCAATGTGTCAAGCTACTCGAGATCATACCTGTCCCCCATAGATGCATACGTCTAGCCCTGTGCTTACACGCAGGGAGTCCCGTTGTCTTATATCCTATGTCGCTGCTAGTGCGTGCATGTAACCCCTCAGTGAAATAAAGAATTGATGTACGCGTGAACATGATTGAACAGCACGTTATTATTACTTTTATTAAGCTTGTTTATTTGCCTTATGTATGATTTTGCTAGTTCCATGATATAGTATATTCGACAGTATGTTTTTTATTACTGGACAGGAAGGATGGATTTTTGAGTATATCCCGAATCAAAATTTTACGTTCCAGCTCACAACTTGCCTTTGGTACGGACGATTTCTAGCTGGTGTATGCACGTGTATTTGAATCATCTATGTACTTTTAATTGTTGGCAGTGTGCTCTCGTAATTAACTCTTGTTTTTCACCGACCTTAATTATTGACGCATATTTCTTGTGGATAAGGAGGCGAATAACCCTCTTTCGGCCTTATGTTTTATTAGCAGCTACTTAACTTACTGGGATTATAGGTGCAAGTACCAACAATTAACCCACTCACGGACGCTTATTCACTAATCTTTTTATTAGCTGTTATCTTGAATAACATCAACTGATTCCGATTTCTCCGAAGTGCCGTTGGGTCGTAAATAAACATTACCTAGAAATCGCTTGAGTTACAAACTTTAGTTTCTGCATCGAATACTTTGCTTAGACTATGCTTTAGCGGGAATCCATGCAAGTTAAATCACGCGCACACACCTTTGTCCCTAGTACAGGAGCAAGTGTGGTGTAAACATTTTGTAGGCTTCCACTGTTTGTGTGCTATTGCTGCTGTCCTCTTCGTTGTTCCTATCAAATGAATGAAGTGCTATTGGTGGTATTTTCTCAAACAAGAGCCCCTTTGTTTTCCCGCTACTCAAAACAGGAACTAGAGGACGCGAGAAAACTAATCAGGGAACTGCGACAGCTGGGGTGGGAAAATTTGCCTCAACGAATGCTGTATGAATGCAAGAAGACTCATGATGAAATGGTAAGTTTGGATGCAGTCTTCTTTACCTTATTTTTGTGCAGATCTGGAATAACATTGAAGCCTATTATAGGAGTCTACTGCTAAAACGTAGAGAGTTGTTGTTGAGCCTGGCCATGCTATACCTTTTTTCACACTAAAGTATCCAGTGAGGATAATTTGTGGTTAAATATTCCAAGCCCCTAATTGTTTCAAATAACCATCTGATGTTGCACTATAATTGTAAGGCAATGTCAGTTAAAATGTGGAAGACAAGAAGAAGTCAGGGCACAGCGAGTGGTCTTCAGTTCCTGCCACAGTCGCAGTGTCTAAAAAAATTATTTTATGACCAATAATGGAATGATCGCAAGATTTAGCCACTTACGTTTATTAGTTCAAACTATCCTCAGCTTATATACTACTTACTAGCTTTGCGTTGCGTCATGTAGTTAAGAAATGATGCTGTCGCATACCAAAACCGACGCAAGTAGTGACCACCGTGCATTTAGATAATGTAGTAAAATAGACCTGCTCTGCCAATTAATACCCATGAACGAGAGGCGATAGGAGAGCAGGAAGGACCGGAGACTCAATATTCGTCACAAAGCTGATGCATTCGAAGAGAACAGCGGTCCTCACAAAAATTTCAAGTCAATTCAAATCCATATAAGCCCCGTGAGACAAGCTTGCCAGAGTGAACGAAAAGGCCAAAGGAGCGAGCTAGACAACCACTGGAAGACGCACATAAGGAATTCGTTTACTGGGCAAGGACAAGCCAACCTTCGTGTGCCCTGCACATATTTTGTTCAACCGAGTTGAAAAGGCTCCCACGTAGGTGCATAAAGAGGATCATGACTCAAACGGAATACTTCAGCTGGTAAGGCTCGCTAATTATGGGAGGGTAACGGATACTTTATATTGAGGGATCATAAAACGTTTTTTTCCTCAGTAATATGTTACCTTCACTGAGATAAGGATGTGCGGCATATGCGTGCTTTTTGTATCACCACATCAGTGTCAATAACATTAACCGATAATTGTATACAATAGTTTTTGGGTGCAGACATACTGTAGCGACAGAACAACGCGGCAATGAAGCACGATCTTTATTGGCGCGAACACACACACTACCATACCACCCACACTGGCGCACATTACTGTGTCATGTTTCTTTCCTACGTTGCACCATCCCTCCTGGCCTACGCTCGTGGCACTTCTATGCTCCTTCTGGGGGTACGGGAACGCATCTTCTATGTCCGTTCCTCCCGTGTATCTTCGCTTCCAACTCTCCGATTTTGACAAGCCCGGAGTCGTTCGATAGCGCACGCTTCCCTTGACAGTGGGTGTATCACTCTCCCCGGGGTTGTTTCTTGAAGATGCGATACAGGCGGTATTGTCCGATTTATTCGGTCTTTCTAACAAATTCCTCACCCTGCCTTTGCCTGCACTCGGGCTCACCCACGGATGAGCCGCTCCCTGTCCCGTTTTCGTCCTGTTCTACTGGGCCTGATTTCTCTCCAGATCGAAATCGCTCACACATTGTTGTTTGTTTTTCCTTCTGTACTCTCTATTCGTCCGCCTCCGTTTTAATCGATCTAACCGTCCTTTTGGGCAAGCGCTGCTTCCGTCTCCCTGCAATACCAACGATAAATCCAGAGGAAAGCCGGTGTCTTGCTCCTACAACCAGGGCAGTCTGTGGCTGATCAATAACGACTTTTGCACACAAAACACTCGCTTACTCCGATTTATAGCAACTGCCTTGGCAAACCGGAGCAGCCGGGAATTGGTATAACGAAGCAGGATGCTAAACGCCTTGTTGACCTCAGTTCGGTGACCCGAGGTCAGTAAGTATATGCTGATCGAAAGTGCCGGTGGTGTGCGTGCACTCGGAGTCCGACTTTGGCTTGCTGGTTGTAAAATCGCGCATTGAATCAACTTTGGCACTTGCTCCTTCATTTGGGAACTCAGTGTACCACTGTCCTACTTATGTACATGGCTCCGCAGTTACATAGGAATTGGTATACGCAGTGGAAGCTGGCCCCAATAGGTTGGGTTTTCTTCAGTAGAAGCGGTGTCAGCTTATGAGCTTTTCCGATGGTTGCAACTTTGACACCACGGAAAGTGCTGTGAGTGGCCAAACTCAAACATCTACCAGTACTCAAAAAAGCAAGCTCACCCTTAAAGTGCAGCTCTAAAAATACATTTTCTTAGCTACAGTAGGTACAGCAGTTTTCATTTCATGGATTTGTCTTTGCTTCTGGATGTGTTTTTGAGGATAGCCATTGGCACGTAACGTGTTGGTAAGTAACTCTAGTTCATCGGCCAGACAATCGGTCGAACATATTTGTCTGGCACGACTAAATAGTGTTTTTATACGCGCTTGCTTGTGTCGCATTGGAGTGGAGTCGATAAAATGCAGATACCGTCCAGACCACGTTGTTTTTCGGTAGACAGACCTTACCATTCCGTCCTCCATGATAAGAATATTTAAATATGGAAGCTAGTTATGTTGTTGGACTTAAGGAAACTCTACCTGCTGTGGCCAACTCCCGCTGCCTATACCAATTCGTATGTAACTGCGGAGCTAGTTACATAGGCAGGACAGATAGAACACTGACAGACACAATGGTACATATTGCTTGCCCACGGAAAGCTAAGCCCAAAACTTCCGGAATGAACGTTAGTTGTGGCTAAGACAGCTGTGTAAATCATGTGCCATTTGGAATATAATGCAGTAACTGCAGAAAATGCTTCCATTCCCTATATGCTCCCTTTAGTCTCAGCCAGATAAAAAAACTTTATGGTACAACCGGTTCTCTCTGGTTCTGCATTGAGTATACTTCTCTTCCAGTCGTCAGATGTATAACTGTGCTGACGCAGAAGTGCGATAGGATGACAAAGGTTGTAGAGCAGCACGAGCCGTGAAATCTGTCCCACATGAACCAGACAGATCAGTACCTCGAACGTGATGCTCAACCTCAAGCTCCAATTCAGAACAGTGTAAGAGTAAAGATCCTGAGTTAGCCACTCCGACGCTATCGGTTGTTCATAAATATGAGTGCGCCACACATTCTTCAACAGAATCACCCGCCATACTGAACACTGGTAAATGCCTGACAACATACGCGTCCGTTGTTGCTACCCATATGACGGAGACAACTTCCATCGCCACCCGTCCCGCTGCCAAAAAAGTTACTACTGCCAATACTACCACGGGACTCAAGATCCCAACATTGGTCCAATCGAAGAAAGCAGCCACTGGTCCTACCAAAAAGAAGATGTTGAAACACTACTTTAATTCGCTGATTGTTATACGCTCTAATGTGATTGAATCCGGAGCGAACTCCATAAACGATAGGATACTAGACGATATAAATCTGTGGGACTTCCTGTGTCAACTAATAGGGGTTCAAGCTAAACCAATCAATATGATGCGTCTCGTCCGGCACCCAAACTCCTCATAATACCGTGTGCCGCGGTTACTCCAGGTAACACTTCAGTCAGGTGATGGTGCAGAGACAGTTATCTTGTCAGCCACTCGCCTCAGTACCACCACATGCATTGTTCGAATTTATCCAGATGTTCCTTAGTGCGAACGCCAGAAACACAAACAAAATCCGGATGACTTCCGTAAACAACAAGATGCAAAATCTATCCTTATTCACGGTGTCCCTGAGCTCTAGACATTAAGCGAGCTACAGGCCAAAGCGCATGACTGGGATGAATGACGTTTTATTCGTGAAGTGCTCACACTCGAAAACGTTATCGCAAATTCGACATAAAGGTTACGGCTGTCCCCTAACTACAAAGGGTGTGATCTCCGAGTGATAAAAGTATCATTGCACTCCAAACGGAGAGCAGCGCATGTGATCAAAATGTGGCACAAAAGATGTAAAATGCTGCCATTCGAAATAGGTACAAGAGCAATAAGCACCGGGCCACAGATTGACACTGTAACCCTGCGCAAGCAACTTACCAATACAATTCTGTCATCATGTAGCTCAGAACGGAAACAATACCAAACCACACCGACTGCTGAAGGAGGACAGGATGGTCTCCCACTTGTTAACGCTGAGAGCTCTATACTTCAACCTGAACTGACCCTAGGGCCTGCGTCATCGGTCCTGCAAAAAACGACCGGCAGCAAGCCCCGCAAGGTTCGGAAACCAGCATTCACCAACACGCTTCTGACCACCGATGCTATCATCTGCTTGTATATTAATGCACAAGGTCTTTTCAGCAAACTAACCGAACTTAGTATGCGTCAGGTCTCCACGTCTTTGGACCTAGTTATGGTCACCGAAACAGGGTGGAACACGGAGATCACGGATGCTGAGATTGCACTCTCCGGCATGAGTTCCATACGAAGCGATCGACCTAGCAGAGGAGGGGAAGTACTCTTGGATAATCGGTCCGACCTGCCTGTTGATGTTATTGAGGACGTAGAAACGTAAGTCGTCCATTTTCTTTGGTGTCGGATGCATCTAAGACCTGGTAATGTGTGTTTACTAGCAATGGTTTACCACACTTTAATGTTCGCCTTGGAAATGGGTCAATGTCTAGCTTCTTCGATGAAATGAGAACTAGCACGACCATACAGTCACGTCTTGATAGGGGACTTCAACCTGCAGGCAATCGTAGTTCCAGCATAGCATAGCGAATAATTCCAGGCTGATTTGCAACAGGTGATCGCCGATGTATCTCTGTACAACCACGTCACCGCTCCCAATCGATTCCCAACGGGTGACACACCCTCCGTTTTGAACCTGGAGCTCTCCAACGAGGAACTAATGATCGACACTGTGACGATAAGTGCACCACTTGGCCGTAGCGATCACGCGACGTTGCTCTTTCGATATATCTGTTGCTAGGAGTAAATCAGTGAGAATAACGTGAGAACCTATATCGTTACACACTGCCATATCCTTTACAATCTAGTTCAAGAAACCGACTGGTCCTTTGTGGCCGAGATGCCGCCCGATGTCTCCTGGTTGTTGATCCTCACCCGATTCACTGTGCAAGTGGCAAATGCGTCAGAAAGCAAGGTCCTTTGCCCGAGGCAAGTGAATTCGTTCCTAAGGAAGCAAAGTAGAAAATGCACGGCCTTAAGGGATTCAACCTGGGGCGCTTACAAAGTCTGTCCAAGTAACCTGACTATAAAGTGCCACTGTTAAGATAATTCACTTGGCCTGATGAAGCTTTTGTGTCAAAAGCGAAACGTTGTCCATCACCATAACTACATTAACCGGTCGTCTACCAAGTTTTCTGAAATGCTGACTTGGAATGCTTACACAACTCAAGGAAACCACTGCATCAAGTTGATCTGCGAAGACAATCTCCAGCACCAACAGAACTTAGCAGCGAAATTCAGTACAAATCCCGTTTCTGTATCAACACGTTAAAAAGCTCCGCAGATTGCAGCACGGGATCCCGGTTTTAGGTGCAACAGATGGTCTCGCGCAAACCGCACAAGATGCAGCCAACGAGCTTCGCCAACACTTCATCCATACTTTCCGTAGTGAATCATCATTTTTCCCGCTTTTTACACTGGTTCCATCGACACCAGGATTAAACCACGTATCGCTCACGGTAGCCAATGTGATGAAAACGCTAGTGTCATTGCGCGTGCACAGCTCATCTGGCGTGGACGACATCAAACCGAAGGCCTTGAAGACAGCGGCCATGAACCTTGCCGAACCGTTAGCTCGGTTCTTTCAACGTTGTCTCGACGAAATGCAAGTTCCGACAATGTGGAAACAAGGACTAATTGCTCCTATTTCTAAAAGTGGTAATCGTTTGGAGTCCTCAAACTACCGTCCAATCACTCTCCTTCCAGTGGTATCCAGAGCTATGGAACATATAATTGCAGAGGCGCTCATGGAATACCTTGAGAGTAACAACATCCTAATGTCACAGCAACACGGATTCCGCCGAAATCGATTCTACACTACAAACTTGCTGCTAGCCGGAGCAAGCTGAACCGAGGGAGCCGATGCAGGGTGGTAGTCGACGTTGTCTACCTGGACTTCTCGAAGGCGTTCGATCGTTTGGACTACCGCATTCTCCTTCACTAGCTTTGAAGCTATGGAATCGGTGACCCTATACTCGGTTGGATCGACAACTTCCTCGCTCATCGTTAGCTGAATGTGAGAGTCCGCAGCTCCATTTCCGACCCGATTGACGTCCAGTGTGGCGCGTCCCAAGAATTGGTACTGGGACCACGTTTACTTCTCACATTCATTTCTTCCTATTTGCACATGATATCAAGCTAGAGCATGATAAAAGGACATCGGATGATCACATGGCATTGCAGATGGATCTCGACAGGGTCTGTGCGTAGTCATCCAACAACCGACTCCAATTCAAAGTGACCAAGTGCAAAGTCGTAAGCATACGCCATCAGCTTGCCTATGAATATCAACTTGGGGACCAGCAGTTGCAATGTGCTTCCCAAGAAAACGACCTCGGGGTGATCGTGCAGGACGACCTTGATTGCTCCAGATAGGCTGAAAAGGCCTCAAAAAGAGCCAGTTAACATCTTGGACTCTTACGAAAAGCTTTCAACAATTTTGAGCCCTCAATCTTTCCACAAACGCTGAACATCTACGTGAGGCCTCACGTGGAATATGCGATCCAGGCCTGGCCTCTCTGGCGCAGGCGCGACGTCCATGCACTTGAAGCTCCGCAAGGTAGAGTGACCAAACTCGTTAAAGAATTCTTTCATCACCCTATCAACACAGACTACAGTCCCTGAGATTGTACAGTGGTGAATATCGACGTCAGCGAGGAGACGTAATCCTTGTTTACTTAATATTGACGTACCCAACTCACCCATGTCGCAACCTGTTGTAGGTGAGCCGAAATACCAACCTGAGAGGTCATCAGCTAAAACGGCTACGTACTACAGTCGACCTGATTGTCGACGAAACGTTTTCCCCCTTCGTGTGTCCGGTGCCTGGAATGCCCTTCCGGCTTATGTTATCCTTGCCCCTACATTAACGCTTTCAAACATGTCTTGATGAAACGCTTTCAAACTTGCATTACTTGATATAGTCCGTTCCACTTGGAGGACGAAACAACGCAAACCTAACCATGTGCTTAACGGCCCTCTCCGCAACGTGGCGGTGAGGTTACAAATATTAGTGTCCATGTGATTGGCCTGGAGGTAGCTAAACTGAATTAACCTATCACATTTGTCAAATGAAGAAACAAAGGATTCAGGGTTATCGTTTCCTCTTTTATTCCTCACGCACTGAAACTTTAACAGCTCTCTATACTATTTTGTATGTGCACATCCCATTCCCACTTCAAACTATCGTTATGCCGTAGTGCATTTAACTCGGTGGACTCTTAAAATAACGACTTCCTTATTCGACAATAATTTAGATTTTAATTTCTACTCCAACCATCCTACAGGACTTGTCAAGCACATGCCTGTTAACCCATGATAAATCCATGTTCATTGTTCATTGTTTCCAAATGAAGGAGAACCTGTCAAAGTAGGTTCAATGCTCGATTTTACAACCAGCAAGCCAAAGTCGGACTCCGAGTGCACGCACACCACCGGCACTTTCGATCAGCATATACTGACCTCGGGTCAACGAACTGAGGTCAACAAGGCGTTTAGGATCCTGCTTCGTCATACCAATTCCCAGGTGCTTCGGTTCGACAAGGCCATTGCTATAAATCGGAGTAATCGAGTGTTTTGTGTGCAAAAGTCGTTATTGATCAGCCACAGGCTGCCCTGGTTGTAAGAGCAAGACACCCGCTTTCCTCTGGATTTTTCGTTGGTATTGCAGGGAGGCGGAAAGCAGCGCTTGCCCAAAGGACGGTTAGATCATTAAAACGGAGGCGGACGAATAGAGAGACAGATGCAATGTGTGCCATTTGCTGGAGAAACCCAGGCCCAATAGAACGGAACGAAAACGGGACAGGAGCGGCATCCGTGGGTGAGCCAGAGGCACGCAAAACAGGTGGAGAATTTGTTGAAGACGCAATAAATCGGACAAAACCGCCGGCATCGCATCGTCAAGACACAACTCCGGGGAGAGTGATACACGCACGGTCAAGAAAAGCGCACGCTATCGTACGACTCCGGGCTTGTCAGAATCGGAGGCGTGGAAGCGAAGATACACGGGCGAAACGGACATAGAAGATGCGTTCCCGTACCCCCAGAAGGAGCATAGAAGTGCCACAAGCGGAGGCCAGGGGGGATGGTGCAACGTGGGAAACAAACCTGACTCATTAATGTGCGCCTGTGTGGATGGTATGGTAGTGTGTTTTCGCGCCAATAAAGATGGTGCTTCATTGCCGCGTTGTTCTGTCGCTACAGTATGTCTGCACCCAAAAGCTATTGTATACAATTACCGGTTACTGTTATTGACACTGATGTAGTGATACGAAAAGCACGCATTTGTCGCACATCCTCATCTCAATGAAGGTATCAGATTACTGAGGGAAAAACTGTGTTAAGATCCCTCAATATAAAGTATCCCTTGCCCTTCCATAATTAGCGACGCCTACTAGCAGAAATAATCCGTTTAAGTCGAGATCCTCTTTATGCACCTACGTGGGAGTCATTTCAACTCGGTTAAACAAAATATGTGTAGGGCACACGAATGTTGGCTTGTGCTCGCCCACTAAACGAATTCCTTATGTGCGTCTCCCAGTGGTTGTCCAGCCCGCTCCTTTGGCCTTTCCGTTCACTCGGGCAATCTTGTCTCACGGTGCTTATATGGATTTGAATTGGCTTGAAATTTTTTGAGGACCGCTGTTCTCTTCGAATGCATCAGCTTTGTGACGAATTTTGAGTCTCCAGTTCTTCTTGCTCTCCTATAACCTCTCGTTCATGGGTATTAATTAGCAGAGCAGGTCCATTTTACTGCATTATCTAAACTCAAGGTGGTCACTACTTGCGTCTCTTTTGGCATCAGACAGCATCATTGCTAAACTACATGAGTCAACGCATAGCGAGTACGTAGTACAAAAGCTGAGGTTAGTTTGAACTAATAAACGTAAGGGGCTAAATCCTGCGATCATTCCATTATTAGTCATGAAATAAATTTTTTGGACACTGCGACCGTGGCAGGCACTGAAGACCACTCGCTGTGCCCTGACTTCTTCTTGTCTTCCACAGTTTAACGGACGTTGCCTTAGAATTATAGTGCAACATCAGATGGTTATTTGAAACAATCATGGGCTTGGAATATTTAACCACAAATTATTCTCACTGGACACTTTAGTGTGAAAAAAGGTACAGCATGGCCAGGCTCAACAACAACTCTCTACGTTTTAGCAGAAGACTCCTATAATAGACTTCCTTGTTATTCCAAAACTGTACAAAAATAGGGTACAGAAGACTGCATCCAAACTAACCATTTCATCATGAGTCTTCTTGCATTCGTATAGCATTCGTTGAGGCAAATTTTCCCACCCCAGCTGTCGCAGTTCCCTTATCAGTTTTCTCGCGTCCTCTAGTTCCTGTTTTGAATAGCGGGAAAACAAAGGGGATCTTGTTTGAGAAAATGCCACCAATAGCACTTTACACACTTGATAGGAACAACGAAGAGGACAGCAGCAATAGCATACAAACAGTGGAAGCCTAAAAAATGTTTACACCACATTTGCTCCTGTACTAGAGACAAAGGTGTGTGCGCGTGATTTAACTTGCATGGATTCCCGCTAAAGCATAGTCTAAGCAAAGTATTCGATGCAGAAGCGAAAGTTTGTAATTCAAGCGACTTTTAGCTACCGTTTATTTACAACCCAACAGCACTTCGGGGAAATCGGAATCAGTTGATGGTATTCACGATAACAGCTAATGAAGGGATTAGTGAATATGCATCCGTTATTTAACCAGTAAGTTAAGTAGCTGCTAATAAAACCTAAGGCCGAAAGAGGGTTGTTCGCTTCTCTTATTCCTCAAGAAGAATGCGATAATTATTGAGCTCGGTGAAAAGTAAGAGTTAATTACGAGAGCACACTGCCAAAATTTTGAAGTACATCGCTGATCCACTTAAAGGTGCATTCACCAGCTGGACAACGTCCGTTCCAAAGAAAAGATGTTTTGGACAGTAAGCAAAATTGGTTAGGGATATAGTCAAATATCTACCCTTCCAGTCCAGTAATAAAAATATGCTGTCCAATTCACAATAACATTTTACAAGCAAAATCACGCATAAGGTTAATAAATAAGCATGAAAAAAGCCAAAAACGTGTTGTCAAACGCGTTGTTCATCCAAATTCACGCGGACAGCAGTTATTTATCTCACTGAGGGGTTACATGCACGCACTAGCAGCGACACTGTCATTGGTCATAGGACGTTAGCCAATAGGACAACCTGGATGAAAGCACAGGGCTAGATGTACGCATCTATGGGGGACAGGTATGCTCTCGAGTTGGTTTGTAGAGAAAACGACACGACAGGTGGGTAGACGTTTATTGCACACCGAAAATGGGCACATGAGGGTCTCGCGCGCGCCATCGAATATCGACTAGTTTTCCGTCCCACAACGCAACATAGGTACGGATGTTAGAGGCGAGCCAGTTCTTTCGCCTCGGGAGCTCTGACTTGGAAGACCCGCCTTACTGTTTTCGCCTCGATCTCCACTTCTCTGTACCCGATTTGGATCAGCCAGGAGTCGTTCGAGAGCTCTCGACTAGCTTGTGCTGGGCTGTGTCAATCGGCTCGGCCTCGGACATGTGGGCTGCGCTAGCGGTGTATATGTCTGATTTATTGCGCTGTCCACATATTCCCGCTCCGTAGTTCCGGGCCCAGGCTCATCGCTAGCCGTCCTTCTCGATCCGCTATCAGCTAGCTCCGAAGAGCTCCCCCGAGGCATTCTTGGAAACAGCCAAGCGACAGGTTGACACATTGGTATTACCAGAAGGCAGAGAGGGATGCGAGTGTTCCCGTTAGGGGTCACAAATATAGCTGGTCAACAAGGGATAACATATTTGAACGTTCTCCCTCAGTACCCCTTTAAAGAACTTATGCGGGAAACAGTTACTATTGGTTCGTATTCTGACCCGGCTGGTAGAAGGAGTCACTGTGCCAGATTTCTAGCGCTTGTCCGAGCGGTCCGTAAAGTATGGAGCAAACTATATATGATCGGTCCAAGATGCACAGTGCCAGTGGCACATTTCGGTTCCAAGTTAGTATTGCCTTTAGTCGAAACAATACACGGCATGAAGATAACAATCTTAAAAACAATAGACATAGTTATCATTAAGTAAATAGTTTTCAAAATACTTCCTACCGAGCATACACACACAGGTGTTATCACGCTTTTGCAAAAATAATATCAATTTATCTGCTTATATTTGCCTGCTTTCCGGGCGACGTATTTGCCTCATATGTTTGCTCTTTGCGATGGTAGGAGGGAAATTTGCACTGTCAATATGTAGACACAGGGCTAATTGCATTGCGTGTTGTGGTGTTATTACACCCATTAGACGTTATCTGGGTTTTCACGGAATGGATGTTCAAAAGTAATTTCCCACGAAAAAGCGACATAATGGTGTCCGAAACTACCGCGAAAGGATTGTACAGTCTCACATGACCTGATGATGAATAGCAGCGGATTTCACAGAGGAGCATGTATGGTGAGAGGAAAATTAAACCGCAAATTTGTCCTCCATTGTGGTATGATCATTATAAGGCCTATGTTACCTAGGTCTCAAGTGTAATTGTGCTTTCATATTAAGTTGAATCCATTACAATGGATATTGCCATGAACCCGATTGTACAGCAGTCTTAAGTTATCTTTTAGTCTTCGCAACCAAAGCGGATCGAGATGGGGTTGCTGGCACCGCTCACGAGTTTATGATATAAATGCTTCTAATGCGTGCTTAGTAAATGACCGTTGAAGGCGTTCTATCGATGTTCTGTCTGTTGTTAGATTATGCTGCGATACTCCAGAATTGGACGACTGTGGATTTTAACTAATTCAACTGCAGTTATGATTGTGTGTATGTTATGAGAGATGTTAGCGAAAGATTGTCTGGATCGTACTATCTTGGCACTCAACCTTTGCTAAGAAGATGACGGTAAAAGAATATCTGACTCAAAGGTCACGGGTCGACCGTTGTACACAGATGCGTTTGCTGTTACGCGTGATAGAGAGATACTTCGGTTGTCAAGCGACCGCGACATGTAATAGTTGACTGTTGTGCTTAGAACGTCGTGATTCACTTGTCGCACCAAATCCCAAGCGAATGGATGTTTGCTTCAAAGAGCGGTAGCATATTCGGAAGTCCACCTCCTCAGCACTTGCGGACAGATTTTATGCCATCAACAAATAAAAACGGCACGTCATGTTTGTTAACCAAACTATTATCACTGACACAAATAAGGGAAATAAATGTATCTAGCGCACATCCTTCCTTAACCCAACTAGTAATTGGAAGCGGGGAAGAGCATTAGTCGCCTAAGGTGACGGTTTTAGACAGGCCGTACCTGTATGATGATAGCCAACCCATTAATGTGTTCCGGACTTCAAAGAAATCTATCGGAATTGGTAACCGTTTGTGAGGAACCTGATCGAATGCTTTCTGCATGTACAAGCATAGAATTCATATGGCATATTTTGAGTCAGTGGAGTCTGGTATGTAGTTCAGGTAATAGAGCTAGCGGAATGTGTACGATCATTAGTCGAGAAAACCATTTTAGTATCTGTCTATAATCTCCAGTACGTTGAAGAACAACCCGGCTATTATAGGAGTATTATGGCTCGGCCTGTAATTGTAAAACCTCCTGTTTTGCGCAACCGTTGTGGCGAGGTTTAATAAATAAAGGTTTCCATTGATTTGTGTGCCAATGAAGGTGCATAATAGAATAAAACGACACTCGGAGGTTTCCGAATGGTGTTTCCAATTTGAAGAAGAGCAGGCGGTGTCCAAATATTGGATAGTAGTGCAAAATGTCTCCTGGCACAATTCCATGATGTCAGCCACACGAGTGCATTCCAGCAACTCGTAAGGTCACTGTAGCGTGTAAATAATGTGTAAAACCGAAGACATGGGAAATGTGCTCCCATAAGCCTGCTGATCATATACCTCACGTGCCTGCTTATTTTCGTTGCATTCCGGAGTAGCTGAAGCAAAAATAATAAACGTGACTTCTTACGCTCACATGCCTAGCACCACAGTTGTCCCGTGCTCCTTCAGTTTGATGACGCTGCGACTGCGAGGAACTTTTAAAAGTCGTGACATATTGCAAAAAGTACTGCAGTCCAAGCAATGCACCTCGTGCGAAACAAAACGTCCTTTCAAGAGGAAGACTGTCAGAGCCGAGCCTAGTTGTCCCTTAATGGAATATAAATAACAACGCATGAATTGGACAAAGGTACACCGGGACGTTGATCCACACCAGTCTGGTAGTCACAAGTGACTCTCCAAATGGGACGATTTAAAGGATTATACATGCAGAGGGAGCCTCTCTACTACATGCAGTTACTCGACTGCTAGTCTCAAGGCTTGGCAATCACAGCACTCGACAACGAAACACATCACTTTGCTACAAAGTTGACTAATTGCTAAATGCCACCTCATCGCAAAAGCCAGCACGGCAGGGCCAGTAAATATTGGCAGCGCAGGAAGACCACTCGAATAACTCAGGTAAATACGGAAACCAGCCAAACGCTGTTCTCGCATTTGCCGACGTCCCTGCAGCTTGGTGTGAATAATTTATAGCGGGATCCACGCATGATGACCCTGCTATAGACAATATTACAGGCAGCCGAGCAAGCAGGCCTTTTTTGCACGCAGCGATATGCCTTGCTACCGACGTGCAAACTACGTCGATACATGTTTTCAACAGAAAGCAGCGACATCCTGAAGCCTCTCTGGATGATGACATTGGCTCCACCACGCATGCGTACAAGGAATTTACAGTGCTTGCAACAACACAATACGCAAGCAGTGCATGTGGTGAAGCGCAAGTGCCTGGCATGTCCTGCGTGGATTTAAACAGCAACTGCTTATCTTGGTGCCAAACCACATGCTTAGCAGCGTACTACCTATGTATTCAATTGACGGAGGCGACACCGACTTAACAAGCACCCCGTATAAGACAGTTTACTCCTCCGCTCTGCCACAAGCAAAAGCACCAATCATCTGATATTCCAACACTGATAGTGGCGACCCCAGCAACAATTATCTGCTAATACATAAGGACCCATAATGTTCTATATCCGCCAGCCAGAGAATTTAAGCACCGGAACCACTCATATGCACCCGATCGTTCCCAGTTTACGCGTTCCCGAGCACGGGTGAGGAGCTATTGCAACGATCGTACGAACCGGACCTCGTTTGTAACGCGCGGGACACTAAATGTTAAATTTAGGGTAGTGTACCATTTCGGTATCTTTTAAGCGAACACCTAGAATTGGAAGGCGTTGTAAGCTTCATCTTCTACTGTAAATTCTACTGCGGAGTAACAATTGCTTAGAGTCAACAGTAGTTGTTCCGCTTGCTCGGCAGTGTGCACAAGGACGAAAGTGTCATTCATGTAGCGGCTATATGAATGCACGTGACGTATATTACATCCTGATTATCTCTGTATGCAATGTATGCAATCCTCTAAGGGTACGTAAACGGCTGACAAAAATACGCGAAGTAGCTGATTTCAGATTATCCTGTCGATGTTGTTATTTCTTGCTCTTTTGACACTGGCCAGGTATTAGCGTATAAAATAGTAATTTTTATCATCTGAGTAAAATTTATAAACATAGATCTAATCGGAGCCTTATTGCTACAACTTTTAAAGTCAGGACTTAAGCTCTATAATGTAAAATTAGTGATATGAAGTATTTAATTGCTAATCTAAACAGTATTACTAATAGAAGGGACTATGAGATTTGTAATATTTACGCTTCAATTGTAATCTAAGGTTGGTTTTAGATTCTTTGTATAAAAGAAATATCTAATTCTTGTGGAGCAGTGCTTTCTACTTATCAGTGAGCGATGGATCCCGGAGCTTTAACCTAGGGCGTTAACCTATTAAGCAGGCTTAAAATTAATTCATAAAGAATTGGTAATAAGCGAAAACAGCAGTAAAGCAGTAATGCAGTAAAGAGTGTTATATTACTGTGCAAATACAAAACTACCACTGACGCCGTGGTTGCTTCATGTTCGTGTTGTTAAGACAACACGACAGCTACTAACTTCGTCCAGGCTTGAGGTGTAATACTTCATGTGCATCGGCCAATTAAATAGCACCGGTCTTTGGGTTTCCACTGGACAATACTTATCAAAGCAGCTGGTTTGAAGATTTGAACCATATATAACTAGGGAAGCGATGGCGATGAAGTACATTGGGCCTACCAATTCAAGAAAGTTGGCTTGATGCCTTCCATTTAGGCAACGGTAAATTCTTGCAGGGCCAGTGATCTACATGGGAAGAGTCCTACCATCCTCTTTACTCACCGTCTGGCTCCCATACTTCACTTCATTATTTCTCTAACTGCAGTCATATAAATACAGCAGCAGCAGCATACACGTTAGCTAGAGGTGGGGAGCACCTCAGCTACTGTGCCGCAATACTGAGAAAAAAAGAAGAAAAAATGCAACTGGTGCAAGCTGGCTGAGCTACCGGTAACGGATGGGCATCGTTCCGGTAAGCTACCAACCGGCTGCTGTGCACCCAAAAAAAATTATTATGCAAAATTATATAAAGCTAAATAATGAGATCGTGGTTGGAGGGGGAGGCTAAGAGGGATGGGGTGGGACAAAGAAACTCACAGCACGAACGCCACTGAGGTCGGCTCCTTGCCAAATCAGCAAGTGTGTCCAACCAAACGTGTTCATCGTCTTTCGGACCCCAACCAGGGATCCAAGACGCTCCAACCGAGGCCAGCTCAGAAGTGAGGGCCTTCATTCTTTTGGACCAAGTCATCGCTTGGCCACCCCTCCTCTTCGTCCATCCACACCCCCGGCAAGCGAACAACGCACGTCGCGGAAGTCGGTGGGTTGGCATGCGTAACACGTGGCCGAGCCATCTGAGCTTGATGCGTGAAATAACGGTGCTGAGCGGTTCAGTTCCTTTTCCTGTGCCATAAACAAGACGTCCAACACGCTCGTTGCTCACGCGGTGTTCCCACCAAATGTGAGCTAAATTACGAAGGCACCGGTGGTCGAACGTAACTAGCCTCTTCAGGTCCGCTGCTTTAAGCGGCCAGGTTTCACAACCGTACAGTAGGGTCGAACGTACCGCTGCATTGTACACTCTACCCTTCAGGGCAAGAGTGATGTCGCGCCGGCGCCATAAATGGCGAAGATTAGCAAAAGCGCCCCGAGCTTTTACCATACGATTCGTGATTTCATCTTCAATCCCACGGGCGCTGATACAACTTCTCAGGTAGTTGAATTTTTGGACGACTCCTAGCTGATCCCCACCAAGGGTCAGCGTAAGGGGCGGTCCAGACCAATCTTGGAGAAACGCTTTGCACTTCGTATAAATACTATCTTAAGCGAATAAAGCGTTGGCCTCGTTGCAGAGCTACACCTACCGCACCAATGCATCAGAATGTCGGTTGTTTGATCCGACTACCAGTAGTAATACGCCCAAGTAGGTAGCTGAGCTTATCAACCCGCTTCAGTTGTTGTTCCCTGCTAACAAGAATCAGTAATGTTAAGATCCAGTAGAAGCATACTACTCTGCATTATAACCATGCGAATAATATGTTTCGGCTTGTTGCACTACTTATTATCTTGATGAGCATACAATGTATAACGGTCTAAATCGTTTGCAGCCGTTGAGTGTTGTGGGGAAGACGAAGCATCCGATGACGACGTAAACGAGATAAAATGTGGGGAACTATAAAATTTTCACACCACGAAGGATGTCAGTGGGAATCGTAGTAAACGGAACTTGGTGACAGGTAAAAGTATTGTGTTTACATAAAGGAAATGGGCATCTTCGAGATACAAATATGCCCTCTTTGCCGGTCCCTTGTCTTCAATAGCAGACTACGAGTATCTCCACAAACGGTCACGTCGCTAGGGTTTGCGATTGAAACACGCTATAAAATACATGCGTAAATGGGTTTCACCTCACCACCTAGATGTGGGTATTAAATGGTCTTAAGTCTATTCTGCGCAAACAGTGATGTCAAATTCAACGGAGTCGGAACACGATTACTCTGATAAGGTAGAAAATAACGTTGTGCCTTACTTAATTCCACAGCTTGCAGTGTCCAGCGTAATTAATGCTATCTATCTTCCTATGAGGTCGGCAGCAGCCCAACTACGTCAGCTCCAACTTGGCAATATCACAATCCCATCTATAAGTCAGGAATAAACGATCATTGATCATGTCCTTAAGAAGAAAAGTGGGATGTTACCAGACATATAAGTGACCGAGGTAGTAACCTTGTTGGGTCAATAGGTGACAATACTGAAAAGTCATTCCAAGTATTAGAGAGACAACTTCCATCATGAATTATAATCGAAAGAATGGTGGTGAGAAACCTAATTTCTTTTCCGCACTCCACTGGTATGTACTACAATGAGAATTTGGGCAAAGTAATGTATATTGGTTGACTAATATTAACATGAAAAAGTGTTTGCTAGAAATGAGCGAAATAAACTTTTACGAATATACGTGTTTTAGTAATGCCTCCATTATTTATTAAGGACAAATCTAATAATACTAAAATAGTGGTGGAAGAAGAATAACTTAGAAATTATCCAAAATCAATATCAGTACGCAGACGATTATGGCAATTGTATTGCTCTGAGAGCACACACAAAACGCACCGTCGCTGCTAGTTGATATTTCAACTTGAGGTTTTCAAACACCACTTGATCCCGGGCAACCAAATTTGCTTCCCGCACCGTTCGGTTCAAATGCTCGTGACTTTGGCGTACCACACGATGTTCGTCTTCCAGATTGTTGTATCGCATTGCCAAATCGATTAGCTTGCTTTCCAAATAGGCAATTTGCTCTTGCAATGGAAAGTAATACATATCCTATGATGGGAAACAGTCAGTGCGTACGGTGCACAGAAACTTACATTCGCGTCACAAACGCCTGCCACGGTGAGTGTGAAAGGCGGTCCAGGTTCGTAATCCCAAGGCTGATGAGATGGACGAACGTCTGGGTTACTCATCAGGATGAAATCACAAACACAGGTGTGACAACAACCAATAACGTACTGTTAATCTCACGCATAATGTGTTTAAAATGGTTTGCATGCTTCTGCTGCAGCTTACTACTATAATACTATCTGTTTGCTTGATCACGTACGATGTCCACTGAGGGACTGAAAGAGGGCGTTCCAAATTATGTAATGAAACCAAGAAAAATTAGAGACTAAGAATGATGGACGTCCATTCATGGTCAAGTTGACATCCACTTGGAAAGCACAGTAATTGTAAACTTTATGACACTAAATAATGCCCGCATTTATTGGCGGATTCATCGCTCGATGCCCTTAGCTCGTAGCGTCTAGCTTAGCCAAAAACTAGACCTGGAATTTGTCACATTATGAAGAGGATGTAATGGTTCCGCTTGGTTATCTTTAATCAGGCATTACAGGGGACGAATGAACGTTTGGTGAATGTGAATTTCTTCACTGTGCGTTATATAGGCTGATTATGTCAGTGTCTGTGAATTTGTCTTCAAGCCATACCGCCAGACTATGGCCTTAAGTATCACAAGCTTGACTTGGAATCCAGGAGTCGCAAGGTAGAGCGTGCAAAGAGGACCTGGCGATGCACGCAGTATGCTTAGCCCCCACGCGACTGCTGGTGGTTGCGCGGCAGCGAAGCTTTGGCTTAGTGATGGTGCTTTTTTCTTTTCTTAAGCCCTACCAGATTATCAGCTTGCAGTACTAAGTATTCTTGGCGTCTTTGAAAGTTCTGTCGTGGACAGACACAAGTTGTGAACGAGAAACGCGAAACAAAATATACAGAATTCCAACTGATCCACTGATTGAAATCATTGGTACTTGAGGGGCATACGACAGGAAAGATGTGGAATTCTAGTACCTGTTGGTTCTATAATTCCTAGGCTTTGTGAGCTTTTATACATACACAAACCGGTAGCGTATTCGAGGTCAATACGGAATATGCCAAACTCTTCGTATTGCATACAGGTTATAAAATAGCTGGCATACATTTTGGATATTTTTCTGAGAATGATAAGCCTTCTTCAGGTTATGGTCACATTCTAGTTTGTTGAAAGTTTTGGAAATATAAGCATTCTGGCTTATCGATTGTTTTCCTAGAACTGTGTTTAACCATTTACTAACGTTCCACTATGGGAAACAGCCAGCTTCCTTTGAGCCTACAATGATCAGCACAAGATAAGCTGTGAGGTAGCAACCGACCAGCTGAAGCAACTCTTTCTCAGATGTACCTACAACATTCAATCTCAATTCAACACTCAACTACACAGGTAAATAGATGAAGTAGCAATGGAATCTCCTCTAGCCTCACTGTTGGCAGATGCCTACAGTGAAAAATTAGTGGACGACCCACTCAAATCGATTATTTCCTCTTACAAGTTCTACGGATGTTATGTGGACGAGATACTCTTTATAAGTGCTCGGGCAACCAACTTTCAGAACGATATTGAAGGTTTCAAATGGGCACATCCCAATGCCACATACACAACCAAGGAAGAAAATAAAACCTAACCGAATTTCTTCGGAGCAAAGCAACAGAGATGACTGGACGGATCGATTCAGCGTAACACAGAAAACCACACTGGATCTGGCATTACGCAGTCCCAGAGCTAACTGATACTCAACCGCGAAAGAACCCTAGGGCATATTCTAACCAACTGCTCAGATAAGGTCAACCGGCCCCTGGGCTCAAAAACCACCAAACTGTCCTAGCCCACGCGCGACTTATGATGTTTGCGCAGCATCAGTCAGTACTATGCTTACCGGCTTTCTGTTCCAACCTTCTATGGACGTACGATCTTAAGCCAGGATACTGAATAAGGCAAATTGAAGCAGATCAGCCGCACCATTAAAACAAATGGTTACTTAGAACGCTTCATTTATACCCAGAAAGAGTCCAGAACTCCAAGTAATAGAGAAGAAACAGGCTTTCCTCAACATTCCCTTTGAGAATGTACGGTGGCCGAGTTCCGTGAGATAAACTTGCCAAATAAGCTTTAGTGCAACCAGTTAGTCTTGTCTGGTCGCCTCTGCGTCAGCCGGTGAATGAAAGGATTTCACACCTGACTTGCATCTCTTAGCTCACTGCTTGGAATCCGCGTAGGGGCAGGGCTCCTCGCGGTGTACTCTGACCACGTGCGACTGGTGGTAGTCGCCTTACCGTACAATGTGCCGGAGTGCTTTCTTTCTTTTTGATCACATCTAGTCGATAGTGATCAATCGGTTCAGCTACTTCTGTGAAACTAGGTACATTAAACAAAAATGGTGCACTTTGATAAACGAATCAAAAGCAACTTAAAAACAATAAACCTACCAGCTGATCAGTACTAAACATCGAGTTAACTAACGCATAGTATTCGAAATCATGTTTAACAAACGATCACGGCTGTAGCGTAAATTAGGGGCACGAGTTCTTTCTTCCGTTGAAGCAATAAACATCAGAACGAAAAGCACGAATATCAGCATCCAAATGAAGTTCTTGCAGGAACTACCACTTCTGTGACAAATAGTCGAATGAAGTACCAGAGTATGCATTTGTGAGTGTGAGTCACGGGAGGCGCGATATACCTCGCCTAACGGCTAATTATTTTGCATAATTTGAAGCAGCCTACGTGGCCACTGTTCCTCAGGGTACAGTAGGGCGATCTACTGCGCAATCGTGAAAGTTTGTTGCTTCGCTACACCGCAAACATTCAGCCATGTCCCCGTGCTTTAACTTACCAAATACCGCGACATCATTAAGTAGTAAACATGTTGAACACCGTTAGCACTACCGACATTTGTCACATCTATAAAAAAGTGCTTGTTTTAAAATAGCTGAATGCATGGAATGGAGCCTTTGTTCAACACTTTCTCAGGGCAATCAAATTGACGATCTATGGTTTAACAGATCAGAGGAAAACGGATTTCGAGTCATTCAAACCTATTCAGTATACTTATACCTATGCTCTAGGATAAGCGGGACGGTTACACACTAATCTAGTCTTATTTTCTCAGCATTATTTAGCGCGTTTGCACATTTTGCATAAAGGAAGAATCACAGTGAGATAACGGTTAAAATTACCCCTTCAACAGAACCGTTTTCCGCACCGTATCCTGATACAATTTGACGAATTCGCATCTAAATGACAGGTAAAGTAGAATGTGGAATGATGTAAAACGTACAGTCTCAGGATCAAAAACTCGGAGAGTTTCTGCATCCAGGGAATTCTTTCCATTAAGACTTGACGGAGGTGACACAACGCCGTCCATCTATTGGAATAGGAAGAGACACGAATGAGAAACAGCCGCATTTTGTGGGACCAGTTCGGCAAAGCAGCAGATATTACATAGTAGGCATTAATTAAGGGGCAAATAGTCATGTAACCTATATATCAAGTTTAATCTATATACAAATATATTTGGTACAATTCGCAGACATGGAAGTTAATCCAGATATGGCTGCCAACCAAAGGGGACGGCCATTTCAGTCGAAATCAACTCAGCGACCGTAGTTTATTTTTCCTGTGACCGTACTATTGCTCGTTTCGACAAGCTTGGTGTTAGCCTATTAAACTAGTATGAGTTATCGAAATCCACAAATCTATGAGGCTTTGAAGCGGCGATTGTTTATTTGCTTGATAGTGTGGACCGAAAGACTGCAACCAGTGGTCTCCTACCTCCCTGATTGACTCGCAATCCAACCACACAGCGGGTACACCAAATGCAACTTGGAACCCTTTACCGCTGTACCAAGTTTTGTTCGCGGACCTAGGAACCATAGTAATCAAGGCGTCAACCTTTGAACACTACGCCTCGAGGTCTACTCCAGCTCAGGCTATCTCCATTTGATGAGTCCAAAGGAGGACGAAACCGGTTATAGGGTGTCAGGGTTGGGAGAGCAACAATGAACCACCAATTCGGATACGGTCCATGTGATCGTAATGACCGAGGTCTACTTAAAAGAGGACCGAGGTCCAAATAGAGATTGCGAATCGCAATCCAACCCCACAGCGGGTACACCAAATGTCACTTGACTCACAGTTAGTATATATACATGCTTGAAGAGTGAAGAGTGACGAAAGTGGTGTGCAGAGCTGTGTTACGGAATGGCAGCGTAAATAGTTTAATGAATGTTTAAATTCATGGCTTTCGTAACACGGTCTACCATGTGAAGCGACTTAGGCTACGCGCATGACCGTGCTCATGCCTCATGAATTTATGTCCAGTAGAAACTATGGTAAGATATTCCGCGCGACAGCGCCAGCACGACTGTCTGGTTACGGCAAAGCAGAAAACAAGCAACCCAGCCCCTATATTCTGCGAGTTTTAAGTTTACCTTATCGGCCTTTGCGTGATAAACAACTCTAAGCACTTGAGCCATCACATGTTAAGTTTCACCCATAAGAGCAGACTGAGCCACCATCGTTGCAAACTGGTAAAACAATACTGCCTACTGGAATGTGGATGGAATTTCTCACTGTGTATTTGCTGTGCATGGAATTAGATCACAGAAACCCCTACATTAGCTGTGCTTAAGGACCATGTAAACGTTACGCTGGCCGCATTACACGATATCATATAACACGTGAACTATACGCACGTTCAGTAGACCAAACCAACTCAAACCCGCTTTCATGAGAAAACCGAAGGCGGTGACATTTCAAGTTGCATAAGGACATATGTGAACGACCCAGATTTACAAAAGCTCGCTTGACATACTCATTTTTTTCGGTTTAGCCGTATATAGTTATCTTTCCTTATATTTTGAAAGTTTACGTCCATTATCCTGAGAGACATATTAATCTTCGGTACTTTTATCCATAACATCCGATTGACCAGTAAACTATGTAGCTGCTGTGAAGGTTTCGGTCAATAGCCTTCAAATCTCTGGTAGTTCGTTTGTCTACACCGGACTTTTTCTGTGATGTGCTATACTTTCCTCGTACTCACACAGGCATTGAGCAACTAACCGCCTGAGAAGATTTTATCCTCCGAAAATTGGCATACATGAAACCACTTCAATGCGACTCGAGGGCCACAATATGATTACGTGTCGCAGTCCATTCACAAAACAAACGCTTCAAATTTACCCTCCAATTAGTCATTAACCATTGTGCGTGACCCTTTCATTTAAAAATGTAGGTTTCGGCCAACATTGGTTCGATGCCTGCTATCTGCCACTGACGCGAACAAATACGACCAAAACAGGTCCTGGTAAACCGAATATCTAAATCGCTGTTTTTAGGACCCACAATGTGAGCATAACTCGCGTGATTAGAGACATGAATTGCTTTTTATATCTTGGCAGATTCGGATGTCAAATGTTATCGCGATTGAACGCATGTTTTGAAATTACGCCTAATAATTTTGTTTTCCGCGTGCTGCATCCGTTCCATAACGAACGCAGGCATTATGGTGGCAGAAGTTGGACACTTTTTCGTAAAGTTTAAGTTTCTTAAGGACGACATCGTCTGGTGTATCAATCATCGAAACGCAGATGCGTCACTCAGCCTGCAAGATCCTCTGAACAACCCCGGTGTTCGATCCAAAGCCTGTCATCTATCTTTTGACGCATCAAATTGACATGATATTCTGTTTTCGCTGCAATACGGGCCAGTTACGAGCAGCTACTTACACAGTGCCCCGAGGTTCTTATAGACGGCCATGGTGTACAATCTGCTACATCAGTGAAGTAGTTACTGTGAGAGGATCGTTTAAGCAAGTGGCTAAAGAGCCACAAGCTAACAGAGCATTTGATTTGACGCCTGCGCATAGTTCGTCTACGTGCTGATTTGTTCGCTGAGCAGTGTTTGCTTAACTGATTCAAAGAAAGAAACTCATGAGTGTAGCAGCGTCGTTAGTTATAGCAATTACAGTTATCTATATCGAGGTACCTACATGCCTTGCAGGCTGGCACTTTTGCTGAGCTTGCTTTGCAACGATATTTGGCATACAGCGTGAGAAAGGTAAAAAATGACCTCTCACTTTGCGCCCCGCCTCCTTGGATCCATCTGACACATAAATTCGGTAGAAGCTAACAAAAGGTTGGGAGCTAAGAGAAACATCCAATCGTTTTTGAACTTGTCCGAAGTCGGGGATGATACAACTGCATTTGGGAGAGAGTTCCAAAGTTGGCATCACGAAGGGAAAAGTAATTCCGACGGCATTCCAGGCGGCTATAGTATTCACACAATTTCAAGAAATTACCTCTGAGATTGGGATTATGGCAGAGTTTATTAGGATCAACTAATATTTGATAGACCTTCGGTAGCATCCGCTAAAAGCCAGCGGCTTCAGCCTTCGGCGAGAAGAGTGTTTGCCTGGACCCTTTACATTCTTTGTTGCCGTTCGTTGTGGTACCTCTTACGCTTCTAGTTCTCGCCTCAACCAAGGTTGCCAAGCTTGGATAGCGTATTCAACATGCGGTCGCACAAAGGAATTGTGCATCATTAGAAAGATCGATGGGTCAAATCTGCCCAGTGCCCTTCGCAACAAGCCGACATACTAGTTGCCTCTTATCTTGGCTTCTTGTGAACAGTTAAGGTAATTCTGTACCAGCACAGTAAGATCACGTTGCTGGGAGCTGGTCCGAAATCCGTGTGCCCCAAGCAATTACGTGCAGTTATGTCTATGGCGTAATTGTACACCGCGACAATTGCCTACGTTGCATAGTATGGCATTATGAGTTGACGAGTTCGAAAAAATGTTAGGACCACACGGGTGCCGTTGCTGGTCGCCCGGTCTTTTGATTGCTCGCCGTATCTTAATGTCATCTGCGAAAATTGGGAAACCATTAGAGATTTATCTCTCTAGATCGTTTGTGAATACCAAGCTCTAGCTCTGAGCCTCGGGTTACACCGCACTCCACATCAACTGCACGGGACAGAGATTCGGACTCTCAACCACAACCGACGCTCGTTTGGAAAATTTTTAATCTAACTCGGGATTGGGTCACCAACGCCATAGCTCCTAAGCCTGTAGAGGGCAATTCGATAGTTTAAGCGATCAAACGCCTTTGTGAAGTCCAGATAGATGACATAGACTCCTGCCTCATCGTATACTGCTTCGGTCCAGCTATTGTGTGAAACTAATAGGTTAGTAGTAGATGTATGCTTTTGACAGAATCCATGTTGCTCCTGAGCTATTAAATTGCAGTTTTCCAAATTCTGCATCTGCACACCTGCGATGAGTGATTTCATAATTTTGGAAAACACAGGGACTAGCCTTATTGGACGGTAATTGTTAGGGTCAGTGCGACTACCTCCCTTTTGAACCTTAGTGTTGATCCCTCGCTTCCATGCCGGCGGAGTTTGGTTTCGCTGTAGACAACGCTAATAGAAACCCGCCAGTGTTTCTGCTTGCGAACTAGATACTGACTACAGCGTCTTCAATATTACCTCATCAACTCCAGGAGATCTGTGGTTAGGCAGGATTAACAACCACATTAACACCTCTTCTGCAGGGAGAGTGATGGTGGCTAAACGTGATGGTGAAATAGTGGAAACGAGGAGAGTAGTTGGCCTCGTTGTCTGCTGGAAAATGTTTGAGTAGTGAAGCTTCCATTGCTGACCGACTGCCCCATCAGCCGTGAGCAGGACTGGGATTCCGAGCTTAACTTTACGTGGGCCACTAACGTGCTTGTATGGGTTTGCGGTTCATACTGAAACACTTAAATAACTACTGCCGATTTGACAACTTGTCCTCGCGGATCGATTTTACGCATAAGTTCCGATGAGCTATGTATGCACTCCAGGTGTCTGCATTCGGGCCGGCTTTGTAATCTCGACATGCCGAATCCCTAAGAAACATGCATTTACGTGTTCTGCTCCTCAGAAATGACTTGTTTTTGTTTTAACCTTGGGAGTACTTCTGTTTCAACACGTGCGTTTCCGGTGTAACAGACGTCTTTGTGGGTTTCCCAGTATACGTCTGGCGTTATTCCGTTAAGAAGGTCCAAGATGTCTCATTAACAAACACGGATAATACGTTGTGGTGCGTAATAGTATACATTTTATCATCCTCTTCTTCAGGATATTCCACATGGCATATATAGTCAACCAGAAGAGTAACACGGTCACTGAAGCCTAATGATGTGCGTGCAGCGATTCCGTCAACCATGAGTTCTTCATTCTTGAGCACAAGAATAAGTATCGAAGGCTTGTTAGCAGTTCGAATTGTGGCAGGATAGGTAACGTAGTTGTTTAGAGCGTAGCTGGAAATAAGTTCCCGCAAACAGGTTTTACACTGTGCGCTATCGGATTCCGCTACTTCCAGGTCATGCACATTAAAGTCGTCTGCAATGAGATTGTGACTGGGTGAATTGGTCAAAGCAATCTGAAGAATGTGTTTCGAATTGGAGTCTATTTCACACGTAGATTTTGGGGGACGGTAAATTACGACTAGTAGATATGTGTTCGTTTTCTGCAACCATGGTCAACACCAAATCGAATCAGGGTTTTGGCTGACATCCCAAATGCTCCCTTAGTCTGTATGTTTATTGTCGTTGTCTGGTGGGATCAAACAGTTTCGAGACCCGTCGGGAAATCCATTGATTTCCGGTGGGTAATAAACAAGCACTATTGTTTATCCTATAACGTAATGGTCCAAAGAAAGTCCACATAAGCTGTATCTATCCGGTATCATCCATCACAATATTATGACCCATTTTTAAATAAATATAACTTCCGGAAGCAAACGACGGAACTAAAAAATAGTACATCAGTTGATATCGGTTTCCTCATGTGACCAACTGTACATTTCCTCACTACTAGCAGAAATCGTGGACTGGTGTGTTTCAAAAGATCTACGCATTTCCCGACATCAAAAGGAAAGAAGCTTGGAGAAGAATGTGAGAATACGGCTGAATGAATGTAGGTATGATTTATCTAAACAAGGAAAGCGGTTACCTGAGGTGAGTTTCTCGAAGAACTGGATTTTCCTCTGGATGGCGAAGGTGACTTTGAGGACTTCTTGGGTCTTAGCTAAGGAAATGAATAGTTCAGTTATACTCTATTAGTATTATGCGTCACTCTAGCAATCGAGCCTGGGCACTCATCGAGTGATGGTAAAAGATGTCATTTTATGTACAGATGAAGTAAAATGTATTTGTAAAACGAAAGGAAGGAAAACGTCGCCATAAAATGAGACAGAACGACACACTCAGCAAGCTTCTGATCCGTAAACTACTTGCGCTGTAATATAAAAGGTTTTTAATCCGTATTGTGTATATCGCCTGACGTGTGGAATTTCAGTAATGTGTAGCCAGTGGCAGTTGGAAAGTGAATACGGCATAAAATTTGGAAACAACTGAGCGCTCGAAAGCAACCACCCGATCAGTGACAACATTCTACCAATATAGTGACCAACGGACAATCGTGGGACACTGGTGTCAATAGGGTAAAATTGCAAAGCTTTCAAGTATCCAATAGCAACAAGGGGAATATTGCATCAGTGGAAAAGTGACAGTGATTGCAGTCTGAGAAAGTTTAATTTTTGAGCTAGTTACGTGGAGTAAGCCGCAGCCACAGAAGCAATGATTTGTTGGACTGATCTTTGAGAACCGTATTTGCCCTACCCGGCTTCCTTCAAAGTTGTAATAAAGGTATTCCCAACGCTGCGCAAGGATTCGCACACGGGACTACAGGAGCTCCGCTATGCCAAAGTAAAAACAAACCTTGCAAGTATGCAGCTATATCCATGTACTTCGCTTGGATTTCATCACGTGTCGAAGTGATAAGCAATTCAACAACTGTAGTACGTTCCTAGGAACGATCCAGTGCTGAAAATGAACTGCTGCAACTCATCAGAAATTGATCCCATATATAATCAGACGTAGGTATGTAAACAAATGGTGAATGCTGAGCTCGGTACTCTGTGTGGAACAAATGAGCAACCCATTTCTAAAACTTCAGTGCGGTCGTAGTTGGTTAACAGCAATTTAACCCAGCACCACGTATTGACTCAGAACAGGGTGTTGTCGCAGATTATGTGAGCGTTCTCAATATCAATACTCATCCACACAAAGGCGCAGTGCGATTTTATTCTGTGTGCTGGATGCACAGCGAATATCTGATGGCACTATTGCTTCAACACATTGCTAATACAAATTGCAGATCAAAGCTCCAGTGCCGGTTGAATGCATCACGATGGACTGGCAGTCATTCAATCTTATCACAGGGGATTAGACGATCGATTGTGCAGGAGCCTGTCTCCCTCAAGGGTGCTTTGGAAACCGGTAAGCGGCTGTGACGAAGATAAGGGGTTAAAACCGCTCCACACGCTGAAGCTTTTCCAAAAACTAGACATAAAAGTTGCCTACCGATCAGATCAATAATTTGCCAACAAAAGAACTTTATGGGGATGGCTTACTTAGGGTTACTTCAAATGCACTTTATAAAATCCACATGCCTATTACAAACAGGTAATTGTCTTTAGTCATGGAGTTTGAGGACATAGGTATCTTCCAATCGTTTACTTTCTGCTAGATGCATCATACTCAGTAAATATATCGGCCTCGTTCTCAAGGCTCTATGACACCAAGGCAAATGATAAGATTTTGAGAACCAATGGAATACAAACTAACTTCACAAGTGGATTTCGCATTCGTTGATACTGCAGTTATCCTTAGCCTCGGTTGCTAGATATTAGGTCATCAAATCGTGATTGACCTAGCCGCTGGATTCATGTGAATACAGGTTTCACCTATTATGTTTGGATCACTCCATGGTTTTTGTAAGAAATTTTTCAACCTCCGGTATGCGACACGTATTCCCTAGGCCATGAACTCTAATGCTTAATTTGCTTGTTATTTCAAGCTGGCAATACAATTGGTCATCGGAGTTTGTGCAAAACACTGGTTCGTTGCTAACACGATGTTCACTCCGGATGTGGATTCATTTTATGCATAGGACTGTCAACCAAACCGGACATAAGTGCAGCATACAGCAAGGGGAAATGATCTATTTCGTCTTGATCCACAGTTGAAGACCAACTTATACAGGTTGTCTGAGAAAGCCAAGGTTGAGTGGCCTGCTTTTGAGTTGGTAATCCGGTCTATGCGCTCAATGAGAACAATGTGAAAGTGCTGGTTGTTTTATCTATCTAGGTTAACCTTAGACATGCTATCCTAACCAAATCTACGGCGTTGCGAAACATACTTGTACAATGATCACATGAAGAGAGTGGGTTTAGTAAGTACTACTAAGCATGTGGGTCAGCATGTATAATAAAGCATAATAGAAAAGGCTATCAGACGATGTTGGTGAAACTAACCGGTGGAGAGGATTTCGACGCGAATGGGCCGGTTTTGCGGGGCGATGATAGAGACAAGCCTTGACTGATTTTAGGCTGCAGGGTCCCAAAATGGCAAAAATGTAAGATATGACCATTTATCCTCATTCAAGCGAAAATGTCCAGGGGTTCACATTTCATGGATTTCGCCAAATTCAGCAAACAAGGTATAACTGTAAGGACTAAATCATTTAGCCACACTGCACTACACCTTCAAGTATGGAAGAATACCTCCATTTCCTGCGCTATATGAATTCTGTCAACACATCAAGCAGTGATGTTAATGCCTTCATTTCTACGATCAAGTTGTCATTGTAATTTAGTCGCTGTATAATCATACGCTTCAAATGTAGTCCCAGTGACCGAAGGAAGAGAGGTTCGTTTTGCTTAGTTCTGACATTATATGCACACAACGCTGATTGCACCTTCAGTAAATGTTGCAAAAGGCTTTGCGTACCATGGCTCGGTGGTCTAAGTGCAGATGCTACGGGTAACAACCCAAAGATGCTGGGTCCAAGTAAGTTTGGACAAGGGGTCTGGAACTGATCAAATTTCGATGTACGCGATCAGTTGTATGATAAAATAAAATGTGGTTTTGGTCCACGCTCCTGTGTGTTGATTGCCTGCTTCATCTTTCAGGCTAACGCACATGCATTCAACCTGCGCTGGACTTAAAAGCTAACAGCACATATTTTGAAACAACTAGTAAGTTCTTTCAGACCTTGTCCGGTAGGGAGTTATTGGTGGAGTGAACTTGATTACGATGCCTGGGGGCTTGCAAGTCGAAAGGTAGCTGTCGTATTTGAAGCCGTGTGGTGTTGTTGATTTGTGAGCACATGGGCTCTGAATGTTTGTATGGATCCTGCATGTTTTACTTCATTGTCCTTATGTTATTAACTGACTTAAGATCCCACGGAATGTATAGCGGATGGACCCAATAATGGATTGCTAAATTCCAAATCCTGGCCACATTCAGCTCCCCTTAACTACACCAACATGATGAGCCATAATCCAAAGCTAGCCATGCAGTATTTGTAGGCCAAAATGTCCACTACCAATTTCCAAGAGGCTTACTTAAACAGCAGCTTCCTGATTTGTGGAGCAGGTTATTATCGCCCCGATTTTTAAGGGTTGTAGCGATTAGGGGCTTGCCACGGTTCGGTCAGTTATCCTCCTTCCGTTGCTCTCAAAGTTGAGGGAGTTGATCTTAGCTGGGGCATTAATGGACTAGGTAAAAAGACTTAAAATCATAGTGCC